TGGATCCAGGAGATAGTACTCATCTTTATTATTCAGCAAATAAGAAAGATATTGAAAAGAAGGAACAAAACAAAAGTAAGCATACTGACAATGAAACTAATAGATTAAACCATCCAGATAAGAAATCACGTTTTACAAAACGGCCCTTAAATAAAATACGTAAGTCGGAATTTTGTAACATGGTGCGCATGCGCACGCATTGTTCTAAACGTTCATAAATACAGTGTAAAAATTGAAAGAAACAAAGATAATAATTGTTTTAGATTTAAAGAAAATTTATTTGAAAAGAATTAAGCTTGTGCAGGACAAAACGTCTCTCTCCATTGATCATTCTTTTTTTTGTTCTGAGAAAAAAATTCAATATATAGATCAGTCAATTTGCCTAGCACCCGGGTTAGATTATTAGAATGGAAGCTTGCTAATAATAACTCCAATAAATTATTCAAAGCAATTGCAAATATTCCATTGTTCAACGCTTGGCCGTCTTAGAAACGTTTTTTTTTTCTCCACACATTATTACTTTCAATGAAATACTTCGATTTCCGGCTGCCAGACGGGATAATGGCTGTTTTGTCAAGTTGTAGTGTCGTGTTCATTCATCTTATTCCTATCGCCTATGTTTTTCTCCGAAATCGAATAGTATTAAATCTCTATAGTGCATAAAGACGGACGTAATAGAAGACAACTGCAATCTACTGCAATGTATTAAGGGGCTAAGAGTATTACGTGCGTCTTCTGGGCAGCCTTTTAAAGTGCGTATTTAATACTTACTTAAAATAGCTTCAGTTTTATAAATAATGTATACTTCCGTCTGTAGGTTTTAATTGTTCTCGTGATTTTAGTTATTTGTTATATGAGAAATTTAAACATTAAACTCGATTATTAAAATAATTTCCAGTTTAAAAAAGACTATGCATTCTTTATATTCGAACAGTCGCTTTAAGGGATTTTATTAGACAACTACTTCCTTTAAACGAGAAAAAGGTGTATTTTGCGAGCGTGTACTTGTTTATAAGTGAATGAACTATGTATAGCGAGAGACAAGATATTTAAAATAGAAAAGCTTAAAAGACAAAATAATAGGTGGGAAAAAAAAAAGAGAGCTAAAATATATTTCTTTACAGTGCATTATATGCACGCAAGTTTGGTAGAATAATCACAGTTCATCCTTCCTTCCTCTATTTAACTTTGTTCTTAAACCCTGTACAAAAAAATCCCATTCACACTACCGTATCCAAACGTGTAATAGACCAATCAATATAACTTGTTAAAAAAAAAATTACTACCCCGCATGTTTATGGTCTACCGAATCAAAATCGACTATGTAACCAATGTGAATGAGCCGACTAACGAATCGGAATGAATTGCCTGTAGATTACATCATTTCCCTTCGTTTTTCCAAGATATTTTCTCCGAATGCAATTCGTAAATATTTCTAGTAAATAAAAAGAGAAATAACAAAGAAAACATCCCTTTATAATTTACCTGCATAAGCGAATAATTTAGTCTATTTGATGTTTAGCTTTTAGATTTTTTTTCCTCACAACAAATGCACACTTTGCAATATTTAGTTTTCAAATATTAATTTATATCTTACCTATATAAAATAAAGAGTTCATTAGCTCTTAGCTTTTTATACTTGTTGTGAAAATTGACAGAGAGAAACCATATTTTATTGATAATATTCTATAAAATATCTAAATTTAATATGTAATATCTTAAAATAAATTCATAAGTGATGTTATATTTAATAAACCGCACCCATTGTTTACAAATTTCACAATTTAATACAAGATGACTCAACTGTTATTGTCTTATTTAAAATTAATGGGATTTATTCTATATATTGTAGTCATGATAACTTATCTATTGATAATTCATAACAGCTCCGAGATGCGAGAAAGATCAAATTGAATGTCCGACAAGCGATGGCAGAAAGAGTTGCTATCCGAATCCCGACGGAAAAGGATGCCGTACGTATACAATTTACATATATTTGAATAATATTGCCAAAGAAAAGGTTATTTTATAAAAAGAGATAAGAAATAATAAGAAAATTTTGTTCTTACTTTAATTACAAAATCTTATAAATTATATTAAATCGTATTTATCTGTTAAAGAAAGAAAAAACACTCTCTTTTGTGATTAATTATCTGAAACAGCAAAAGGAAATATTGGCTCAAAAATGATTTCTGTTTTCTTTTTCTTACCATTAAAAGGAGCGCTGCACGCACAGATGCATTTGCAACGAAATTTATTGATTGCTTTTACTAAAAATGTGTAACTGGGAACTTAATAATGGGTCTTTAATTATCTTATATTTATGCAAATGCAGATAAATATCTATCATATTTGCTTTGTAGTCTAAAACTATTTCCGTATAGGCTATAACCAAAATTTTTCAAGCTTCAAATATCTTCACTTCCTTTAATTTTCCTTTATTACCGATTATACATGTTTAAGAATATATATATATATATATATATATATACAGTATATACAGTATATACTTTTTATATATGCTAATTCATGCCAATGACTTTAAATCCACGTATGCAGTATTATTCACGGCATATTATTCTATATGTATTGCATGGTCTTATACTAGTTTTTGGAAAGAAAGAGAATTCATCGATTATACTTTAGCCTAACAAATATGTGGCGTTACTGTATTATTATCCATTATTGTCGTGAATAAGGAACGGGAATTTCTTTCTATCACCTCTTCTCCTTCTCTCTCTCTCTCTTCCCTATTTGTGTGTCCTCCCTTTCTCAACGTTTCTTTCGGTTTTTTATAACTCTCTCCCTAATATGCATACCCTCTTATTCCTTTCTTTCATTACTTTACTTCCCTGGAGTAAAATTCGTTGACTTCTGTGTAATTTACTCCTCTATCTACCTACTTCAATTATTTGATATTGTAAGAAAGAGAAGACAAAGGAAATAAATTATAGTAGACATTAATTTCGTTACAGATAGAATAATTCTCTGTATGAGTTTGAAGGTTTAATTAAATCAGAATACTGCTTTAAACTTCTGCGAGGATAATTAATGTTAAAATATAAATGCAGTAAGCCTTTTAAAGAATATATGAATAGACTATGTACTGTAGATATACATATATAGATATATATGAGATGTATATATCTCAGCATATATACGAAACAACCTATACAATAGTATATATATAGAGAGGGAGAAAGTAGAAAGATAATACAGACAAAGAGAAGAATGACCTAACAGCGTTTCTATCTTAGTAGAATAATGTAAACATTACAGATACTATATGTATTTTTCAGGGATGTAATTGCGTTAGCAATAATAAATGATAGAGATAGTGTTTTAATCTACGCTTTTGGCTTAATTAGCTAATTATTTTGTAAAGGCGGGATACTAAGCTCTTATTATCATAGTATTTTGACAATTTCCTGAAGAAATCATGTAAAAAGAAGAAAATCTAGACAGCTACTTACTTATTTTCGTCTGGTAATACATTTTGCGTCAATGTCTTTAAAATTTATCATTACGTGTTTACAAGGACATTGAATGATTTTTTTTCCTTCGCTTTTCCATTTATCTTTTTCCTTTTCCTTATCCTCTGTCTCTCCCCTATCTATCTTTTTTTCTTCTTTTCTATCTCCATTTGGATAGTCCTAATGTACATCACTGGTATCATCTGTGAAATAGAGTGTAATGTTTCCCTTAGGAACTATGTAGTCAAATCTTTATTCTGCCGTATATATTGAAATTAACCTACTTTTTATACCAAATTCCTCGAGGAATGATTCTATATTTAAACGTATAAGGAATAAAATTTTCTATTAGTCTGTATGACACAAATTTTTTGAAAACTGTACGCTAGCTTTGTGTAGTGAGATAATAAAAAAACAAGTAATACAAATTAATCATGTGACCTTTTGGTTTGTTTTCAAATATCAAGTTATCAATTATAAGAAAGTGATTATTATATTCTCTGAAAATAAACGATATAATATCACTCAAGAGAAAGGACGGAATTTTTAATCTTTTTATTTACCTAAGGGAAATATGTACATTGAACTTAACAGTCAACTATTGAAATTTATTAACCTTTACAATATAATGACTATACGCTTTTATATATTTTAAAAACTGCTATATCTTGCCTATTATTATACTGTAATCATTTGACTCCTATTCTTTTTCCTTGTCTCACAATGCATTTTTCTTCTTTTTCAATTCCACTCTACAATAGGAGAAAGATTCTTAAGCAATCGACCTTGTAAACAAAGAGTAATGATAATGGTAATAGCTATGTAGAACTCAAAAATTGATACTCTTTTTGTTCTGAAAGCATAAATTATAAATTGATTTCTTTAAATATCAAATGTGTTTTAACATTCTCGTCTGATATCAGTGTTGATTTTTCAAATTGTAAGAAAACAGAGGGAAAGATGATTTACAGGTGAAATAGAGAAAAGTCCTCTTTCAATATTGATTTCTTTTTCATAGTGGGAAAGAAGTCTCTATTAGGAGCTTCTTGTTGAAGGCGTTACCTTCCTATACAAACACTTTTTCTTTGGCAATTTAATCAAGCGGAATCTTTTGATTAGAATAGTCTATCCTTTATACAAATTCCTTGCGTGTAATGGCTAAATCAGTGTCGTTTTTTCTTCCTTTTTTTCATTTGAAAAAAAAAAACAGCAAACATAACTTGTCCTGCTCACGTTCCATTCCACTGCAAAACTCAGTCTTATTGCTTCTCTCAAAATCAAAAATGTGACGGAACAACCGATTGCCCCGATAAACTAGACGAAAGCAATTGCCCAACTACGGCCCTGTCGTCGAAGGACATAAAGTTAATAATAGCTTTGCCTCTGACTGGAATTCTGCTGATCGTCTATTTGGTAGTAATAATTAAATGTTGGAGGCATAGGAAGCGATTAAGAAGCCGATCCGACGAAGAAATTGGCAATAGAACAGAACTTCGAAGAGTAAATAGGAAAGAGTCAGAATCGACTTATGCACGGGTTCCCAGCATTCACGCCAATGGTAGCGTTCGATCAGAAAATGGTAGCGTTCACCGGGAAGGAAGTGTTGGTAAGTAATTCTAATAGCTATTATAGAGGATATCAGCGTTGCGTGTGATTTAGAAATCATTGCCAAGTTTTATGTCCATGTGAAACAAAATTCCATATATACTTTAGCTTATATCAAAGACTTAACAACTTAAAACAAATCAATAAGTTTTACTTCTTCCTTTATTCAAATTTCACATTTTCTCCCAAAGTTTTTGTAGATGTTTTATTTATTTGTACTTCCATTTTATCTTTTTATTTTACATATAAAAATAGTAAAGCGCCTTTTACAGTACGGTAAACAGTAACAATTACGTAAAGATTCGTATAGGGAATAGAAACCAACATTCTTAAAGTCTGCAATCGATACTTCCTATTTTCTTCTTAATATTCATTATATTTACTCAACAAACAAAACCGTTAACTTCTTAATCTTCTGGATGGATCTCCTTCACTTTTTGTTTGAACAAATCATTTAGCAAATACATCTTCAGCCTTCTGTAGTAGATTCATGAAACATTCCTAACAATGATGTTCCCTTCCTTTTTTATAAGATGATTCAAATGAAAGATTCCTAGTTTAGTTGGACAATAGATAAGGAAAAAGTATAAAATATTTAACAAAAGGATCATAAATTGTATGAAAACGATCAAAAGCGTTATATTATTGAAGTTGTTTTTGAATAAAGAGAAATTAGAGCAATTAACATATTAAATGTAGCTTTTTGACGTAAAGCGTCCCTAATCTGTAAATGTTAAGGTTTGTAAATATAATCTATCAATACATTGTTAACATGAAAATTGTTAAGTTAATAAAAAGATATACGACGCTAAACTGAACGGGTCAGTGAACAATTTAATAACAAGTAATTTAGCTGATAACCAAAACTGGAATAGTTCATCAATATATTTTTACAATAGAACTAAAAATATTCTACAATTTATTACTTTTTTTACCCTTTTTAATATAATTTATATCATTGAACAGGCTCGCAACCGGATAGCGCTAGAGCTAGAGCAGATTCGATTGTATCCGGTATACTAAGAAGCCGCGAAAACTCAATCAATACGCTCGGAATTCCCGGAGTCCTAAGTCGTGAACCAAGTCACGTGACACTAGGTGTACCGAGCCGTCAAGGGACTTTTAAACTTCGCCGAAGCTTTGAGAGTATTCCAGAAAGCGTTAGGCGAAGTGTTTCCAGGGAAAGTTTAGGAGGTGTTGGAGAACATGCTCATACCTCGCAGAATAATGATGGAAGTGAAAGGCGAGAGAGGACCGGTAATGGTCGGCCGGCTCCGCCAACATACGAAGAGGCAATTGCCGAAGGGACTTTTGAATCGGACGAAGAAGCCGATGCTGACGATGAAAACGACGAGAGGCAGGTAAATACGAGGTTTCTTTATAACATTAGTATCTTAGAAAGTTAACCAGTTAAATTCGGTTCACACATTGACGTATGCAAATAAGGCGCCTAATTTTATCTAAAAATAGCAATAAAAAAAAGAACATGGAAACTAACTTTACAATTTTATTGAAAAAACTGGAAAACGGGAATGTAAATACAAAATTAATAAAAGTTCCGCTGTAAAAAAATCCAATTCATAGAATATTAAAAAACCTCTCTCTTCCTTCAAATCGATTTAAAAATGGAAATTGATTAAAAAACAGTTGTAGGAAAGAAAGAAAAGTTAAAAATAATTTTTTTTCTCAACTCCTTCCTCTCTAAGAGAGAAAACAAATTTATTCAAAGAGAAGTAGCCCGAGGCTGAAGGACTTTGACAAGATCATGCTTAAGAACGTGCTTAAGCAGTACATTTCTTTTCGGATATGCAAGGCTAAACTTATTTCCCAAGCCCACTTTAAACGAATACGACTAATAAGAGTGTTACCTCAGCTCTGTTTTCATTCTCGTCTTTCCATATAAAATTGCAAATTTCCAGTATTTTTTTTTATTCACTCTTATTTAATTGATGCATTAATTCAATAACAATGCAAACAATATACTTGGTGGGAATTATGAAATATTTATACATCGTTTACACATGTAGAAGTGTGCAATAGACCGTTTTTTTATTATATTTAAGTCATATTTCACTGAATTTCTTTCCAGCTTCTAATTATTTATTAATTTTCAGGATATAGCATTATATTCATAATTTGCATTATGCTTTTGTATATATTTATATAAAAATTTTTTAATGTTCTGCTATGTGATTAATCGACATTTATAATTAATTCTTTTTCTCCTTTATTTATTTAGGATTCCGAGGCCAAGTCCGAAGATGGTGCTAGTGAAAATAAAAAGTCCAAACTTAAGCGAACCCTCTCCAAAAAACTGCAGAAAAAATTTCAAAACTATGTCGTTTGTATGAAGGTAAACAACCTGCACCGAGAAGATGAATCCAAACAAACAAAAACCACCAAATATTTTAAAAAAATCCACTTTAACGAAACAACCAACAAATCAACAACCACAAAAAAACCATCGAAACCGATATTTTGCTCTTTCTGTCTCTTTTTTTTCTCTCTCTATCTCTCTCTGTCTCTTCACGCAATCTTCTTTCCGCTCAAACGAAAAATATTCGCCACGTTTTTTTCTCTTCTCGTTATCCGTCGAAACAGAGAAATTAACGATTTTTTTTTCTTCATTTTTTCCATCATATTTTCCTGCAAAATCTCTACTTCCTCGAGGGTAAGTTTCATTTAATCTTTATATATATATATATTCGCATGCGCCACATATATATATATATTTATATTTAGACGTATACGTCGAGTTATAAATAGATATTATGAATGTACAGTATAATTTATAGTCAAAAGCGAATTATAATCAGAAATATCCTTAAAATAGTTCGCATATGAATATTTTAACTAATGAAACGGATGAATTGTGATAAAGTACAAATCTGTTTGTCAATTTGAAAATGATAATGTGTTATACAGCAAGGCCATTGTTATATATTTGTAAAGTACACGCAATAGAAACCTAGGTTACGTTATTAACTTTATATTGGTATAAGATAACTAATAATATCATTCATAGAGTCATACTTTTTGTAAATAGTGCAACTAATATTTTAAGTCTAGTTAAATCTAACTTATTTATCATGATACTAATTAATTAAACAGTGTATAATTATTTCTTAAAACGCTCCCCTTGCCTTTAACACCTTAAAGACTTCTTAAAAAGCAAATTATCAAGTGCATTATGCTTGGTTCTATCGAGTCCTTTCTTATGGACTGTAAAACATAGAGAGAGATATAATATACACTTGCACTCTCTCACGTACAAATGTATTAAAATAGGTTTCCTTACTTCACCTTCATCTTAGAGGTGAAGTTGGAATATCGCACTCGAAATTTTCGGTTTTTACCGGAAAACCTCTTTATTTATAGATAATTAAAAGTATTTAAGTAAATTTTTAGCAACGTAAGCAAGATCTTAGTCATAAATTAATATTAGTTGTATTTATTTGCTGCATAGAATAGATAAAATGAATACAAAGAAAGAGAAAGTTTCTCCCTATTTTTACAATTAAAGTAACAAAGGAAAAAGCTAAATTTTATAAATGACTGTAAGCCTACGTTTTTTTAAGCTAATACAACGGACAGAAAAATAATCATGAGAAAAGAAAGGAATATCTTAAGACTTAACTGGGTATTTTCCATAAAAGCCGTTCCAAACAATAAATAACAGTGGATTTGTCAATAAAATAGCTTTATTTCTTAGACAGTTTCCATGGAGTTTACAAGAAATACTATAGAAACAGAAAGACATCATTTATCAATCAAATAGAGGGGGAGGGACGGGAGGGGGGAAAGCTACAAAAGATACTAGATTCTAGACAGTTTTAATTCCGTACTCGGACAGTAAACGATCGTAAATTCTATGTTTCCTCTCTATTCCATTCTTATCCGTTTCTAATTTTATATTAGAAACAACTCAGAAGATGAATAAAATTGCTATATAATATACAAGTAAATGATGATAATGATTCTGGAATAACAATAGGTTATTATTCACACGTCACCTTACTTATTAGATTTGTTATGACAAGGTTTTGTACTACATAAAATTCTACTAGTAGCTTCCCTTCCCTTTTTTTTTTGCCTTTTACAATCCCAGTAGCATTGTTCTTATCGACTATCACTTTTCTAATATTGATAATATTAGCTAAAAGCAGGATATTTACTATACAAACAGCTTTATACATATTCTATAAATAATTATAAGTCTATAGACAGTGCGATAATATAGTATTGATAATAATATAGGAATAAAATAAGTAAGACCTCCATAAAACCGAGACGATGATAAAGTAAAATAAGTAGTTAGGCGGTTACCTAATTGAGCTAAAAGCTTTTCATTTTAACCATAAATTTTCCAAGAACGCTCCTTCATGATATCTTTTTTTGAAACAGATAATTGAACTTTAAAAGGGTAAAAAAAAGGGAGGTTTTTTTGCACCAAATAATACTATCATTCCAAAAGGCTTTTAAGCTTAATTGACTACAGCTCAAAATCCGGCTGAGACGTAAATGTTTACTCATTAATATTCACGGCAGGATATCTTTTGCAGAAAATTTGAGAAGAGTAATCTTAATTAAACGCATCTCAGCTTAAAATGGTCTAATTAGTTGCATAATTGTTTTAATAATCATAGATGTAAAGTAAAGAAAAATAGTTAAATTCCACTTTTTGTACTCTACTAATCTGTTAATCTGGAATATATATTAAGGAATTATTTAGTAAAAAGCTATAAATACGGAAACGTGAGCGTACATGCATAAAATAAACTATAGTATGAATTATAAATAGCACATCCATTATACATATTGCAGCTAGGGTAACGCAAATACAACATATAGAAATATATATCACGAACATCGAAATCCGATAACTTATTTGCATATAGGACTAATCTAATCAAATTTCAATTTTTCTCACAGTTTGAGAGACTTCTCTCTTTTTCAAGTAAGAGAAAAATCAATGGATTAATCAAGCCGAAGATGTTCTAAAAAAAGACTCTAACGACCGGACGCCTTTAGGGTTACTTCCGGCCGACAGAAGAAATATTTTAGTGGTCAAACAAGATCTGGAAATGTTCCTTCTATTTTTTTTATTGCTAAAATAAAAAAATTGTAATGGAAATAAATAATTTACATGGAAAATTGTCTTTTTTCTATATTTTTATTGTTATCCAAAGTTTATATCAATTTACTCAAGAAGCGCCTTATTGCATATTAATTAATTGTGTAATTGAAGTTCTACTGATTCAATTATATATTTATGCTAATATGTTTAATACTGAATAAACAGGGATCAATGGAAGAAGACGAGGTAGACATGCAGAACGAAGCGTCTCTCTATGCAGATATAATGGGACTACACAAATCCTCAAGCGTCAATTCCTTAGGTAGACAATATCTCTTTAAAAAGATACATATGTATTTTACACAATTCTTTGTTAATTTAAATAAATAGGTGGAGTAGCTGCACGAGCGGCCGCAACAGGCATGATTCCAGGGCCAACATCTGGAAAGCGAAAGAGGAGGAAAAATCCACTTTTGGGTTTGGACTTCGGAACTGGAAATTATACATCGACTAGCTCAGATTATGATTCTGATAGTTCTTATTAAGAAGAGAAAGAAATTTAAAAGGCCTAAACTTTCGTCAACTGTTCTTCGAATGTCTTCTGACCAAATTGTGAAAAAATGTTTTTTTTTTTCTCAAAAAATTTGTTTGATAAAAAGTAATAAGGTGAATAGCAACAAAACTTTTACTTGATTGCTGTGGTTTTTTTAAAACTTGGAGTTCTCTGGGAAGTTCCTTCAGATGGCGCTATTCGTAAACTTTCTGGACGTCAACCAAAGTACACAAAATTATTTTCAATAACTATCCAGTTTATTCTCTCTCTCTCGATGTATATGTATGTATATACATACATACATATATATATAATATATATATATGTATCTACACAATGCATACCTCAGCCGATAAACAAAACCCAGTAACAGCCAATACCAAGTTCTAAATATGGATCATAATCAATGGAGATATTTAAAAAAAAACACACACACAAATTAACTCTTATCTTATACTTTCAATTATTTCTTTTTTTTGCCTTCTTTCAAAACAAAAGTGTATAAGAAAAAAAAAGACAGACTTTTTCTCATCATCCTACTGCAAAAAAGACTACGCAAAAAAAACCTACAAAACCTTTTTTTTTTTAAAAAAACAAACTTAACTTCATCTGCAATTCTTGGAGAAAACAATTTTTTAGCTACAAAAAAAATATATACAATAGCAAAATATGAAGAAAAAAAACTACAAAAATACCGAACTACTTTGAATATTTTACCATAAACTGTGTTAGCAAACTATAACAAAAAAATGCTTCGAATAATCAAAATTTCTCGATCTTGTGCATAAGAAAGATAATGTTTATAAGCAAGCAAACAAAAATAACAAAGAATATAACAGGAAGATAGCAAAAACATATTTCTTTAACTCCTATTGAATTACTATCGTCTTTTTTTGCTTTTGTTTCTGGAATTACAATTACTTTAATCTCTCTTCTCAAAAAATATAAAATTTTTTCTTCCCCTCCCCTTCCTCTCAAAAAATATTATCTCCTCCTCCTCCTCCTCCTCCTCCTCCTACTTCTCCTCTTCTTCTTCTTCGTCTACATCTCCTTTTATTCTTCTTCTTCTTCTTCATCTTCTTCTTCTACTTCCGTAAACGAAAAGGACAAACATGTTTTAATATTTTAGCAATACTATTAATTATAATTATACTTGTTTAGTTACATTAATTTCTCTAAGTATTATTTCAATTTTCTTTCTCTATATGTTTGCTTAAGAAAGAATGTTAACAGAAAAAAATCTGTATCAACATCTTCTATATAAGAAACAGGAACATCAGAAGAAGTTAACAAAATGTAAAGAAACTGTGTTAACACTTTTTTTCTGTTAATTTATCAAGTTTGTTAAACTTAGAAGTATGTGAATACGATACTTTTGAAATGATTGCAAATGAAAGAGAGGGAGAGAGAGAGAGAGCGAGATAGGAAGGAAGAAAGAAAGAAAGAAAGAAAGAAAGAGATATTGAAAAGACAAAACAGAAAGATGCCAAGAGAAAGAAAGATAGTAAATAAAAAAAATGTACAAGGAACTAGTACAAATATATGTGAATGAAAGACACGTATTGTTTGCTGTATATATAACAAACTTGCATTGTTATTGTTGGTGAGGATATATACAGTTATAATATATATTGATTAGGAAATCTTAAAATGTGAAAAAAGTAACCTAAAGAAAATGCTCTTACTGTGTATATTGTATATTCGAGTGGAAACATTTTCCGTATAAAAAAAAGACAGACTGCTTAAATTTTTTGCTTTACTGCAAAAAAACAAAAAAAAACAAAAAAAATGACAAACATTAAACAGTTATGACAAAAATATGAAAATTATCGTGATTATGATTATTATATATGTATTTTAAGAAGAAAAGAAAATCAAAATACGTTTTTGTTATGGCGAGAAATACATAGATGCTCAAACAATGCACATATTAAAAAAAATTATAACTGTGTGTTTCAATTATCCGTATTACACTCATATTATATGCTTAGCTTTTTGCAATTTTATCTATATGTACTATATATATATAGTATATATATTTAGAAATGTACTAAAAAACTACTACCATCCCTTACAAGGCTTCCAAGTATCAACAACATCTTCTCCTAATTAGAGGAAAAGAAACTTATTATTAATCTGTTAGAAATATAATGGTTTTTTTTTCTCTTGAAAGAATTTTTGTTTACCGTCGTGTAAATAATAAATTGAAAACATAGCTGCCGTAGCGCAAGAATGATAGGGAAGTAGGAATAAAGTTGATCCAATAGGATATCTATTTTAGTTATTTATAGAATATAAAGAGAGAAGAAAGAAATAGGTTAAAACTATTTCGTTATTGTATATACTCTTACTTTTTAAAATCGATATCTCCTCTCGTTGCAGTAACATATCCAATTTCTTGAGTCATTTTAGTTACCCTTCAAAATAATTAAAGAAAGAAATAATAGAAGTCAATATAAAGTATAATATAATACTAAAAGGAATTACTTAAGTCTAGGTTCATCGTAGATTAGGCAATAAGATCCGTTTGGTAATTTACCCTTTCCATCATGACTTAAAGCCAAAAATCCTTAAAAGTATTGAATCGAGAATGATAAATGCAATAGATATAATTTATTCATGTACCGGCGTCGATTAGCATTTCATTCCTAGATGGATAATGACCGATTATTCTTGTCATTACTCTACCAGCAATTTCGTTAACATTACACGAGCCAATAACTGATTGTTGGACATCTAATATATCATGTATATAAACATTTTACTATAAAAGCTATATATAAAACATAAATGTAGATATATTTAATTATACCATAAAAAATGTAATTTCCGGGATGGAATTCATTAAGATTAGCCATTTTCTTCCCCGGTATGGAACACGTTGGTGTAGATCCTTGACCAACAATCTTCACTTTAATATCATTTTCCTCCAGGTGTTTTGAAACCTTTAATAGTTTTTCAACGCAACTATTTCCTAATTCTTTTAATTTATGCTCTCCAGTTACTTCATAACTATTACCATCGTGTACGTAGAGTCCTTCTAATTCTATATGCTCACAATTAGTAATTAATTTAGCAATTTTTAATATCTTCTCTTCATTATCGTATTCTATTCCTTCTCTGCCTCCTCCGCACTCAATAGCCAAATATACGGTCCAATTTTTCCCTTCTACTTTATTATCTAGTAACAACTGTAATCCCTCTTCGCCGTCTATCATTAAATGGAAGGATTTTAGTTTCTTTCTCAATTCCGATATTCTAATTTTTTTTGTTGGATAAAAAGGAAATTAAAGAAGAAAAACAACAAAAAATATAGGATTATATAGAAATTATTGATAAATATTTATATTGTAAATCTGTTATACCTGGCCAATTTATCGTATGTAAATATATACCCATATAGGATATCATCGAAACCATTTGCAGCAAAAAATTCGGCTTCAGCAATAGTTGAAACAGTTATTCGCTGTTTAGTGTTATTTGTCATAAGATTACCAGCTTCTATTGTTTTAGCGGTTTTCATATGCGGCCTTAAAACAACTTTAAATTTTTCGCATATATCTATCATCTTTTTGGCGTTGTTTGCAACCTTTTCGCGGTCGATCAGAAAACATGGCGTTTGTAAATCTTGAACCTTTGCAGGGCTTGTTAAATTTTCCATTGTTACTTAATATACAATTGAACAATGAAAGGTCAGAGAATAGAAATGTTTTACGATAAGCAATCTCTTACTTAAAAAATAGAAAACCGAAAGGTCAAGGATAACGTATACTCGTTTTCATGAGTGTTTGAAGTATATTTCACGTTTTAATAATAACAAAGGAATACTGATAATAAATCATTTTTTATCAATTTTAATAATATTTTTCAAAGCCAAGTTAATAAATGCGAAATAATATTAAATTTATAACATTTATAAGATTTTAGTACTCGAATAACCGGTATTCAAACACAATCATCAATAATTTCTATAATCAAATTACTTATACTATTAATTATTCTACATCTCATTTTCGTAAAATAGACAGACGTTATTAAGTAAATCAACAATCCATTGACGCCTAAAACACTAAAATCATACACTTTGAATAGAGGGATAAAGCAATACGTACATTATGGTCTATAAATAGAATTTGTTTTTTATATACAAGAACAGCTAGTTCGATCTTGTAACAATTATATGAAAACAGATGTTATAATTACAAGATAAACTCATCGCTTAAATTCTAGTGCGAAACTATACTATAATAATAATCCTCTTTCAGGAATTAACTTTTAAAGCCCTTTATTATTAATTTTTCTTTTCATGGCAACCTTCGTGAGATTTTGTTTAATTAACCTGTTATCTAGGTAAAAATCTTAACGCTGTTAATAAACTTGATTTTCAATTCTCTATTATAGAAACGTGTAAAGGTGAAAAGAAGGAAAAAAGAAAACGTCAGTGGAAACGTTATAACGTTATATATTACATGAAGTATCGACAACTGAGAAGACAATCTCTCCATCTGTAGTTTTAGCTAAGAACTATTTATGCGAATAGTACAGTATATATGCTAAATACTGCAATATAAATGAAAATAAGGATAGTTAAACTGAGGCCATAGATGAGAACGGTTTTTTTTTATCAATAGCTCTTCTTTTGTTTAATAACTATCATATTTAATGTTTTACTTTTAATAATCGAAAATAAGGAAGTTTAATTTTTTAATTATAGAAACCTGCTTTGATTTCTTAAAAGGAATAGGTGAAATATTTTATTAGCGAAACTCGAAAATTATACTTTGAGGAACTTAATTATAATAAACGACTATTTTACAGGTAAAAATATAAAACCAATTGATTTTGAAAATACAAAGGAACCATCAAGTCATGATCACATAGGCACAAATGTTATATTCTGATCCTATAGAATAAAGTGTGCGTGTTTAAAGGAAAGTGCGAATGTATTTGCTTTCCACTGTCGAGAATGACCCTTAAAATCTGAAAGACGAGAAATTCTGTATAATTACTTTTACTGAATTGATTACGACTATTGTATGCTTTAACACATTTATTTTATGATAAATTATCCAAGATTGAGTGGAAGCTATGCGTATCTTCCATTAAGGTTGAAGATATAGAATAGTTGTTAAACTATACGAGATATACTATATACAAGGCCATCTTTTAAAATGGTAGATATTGTAGACTATCAAAAAGAAGTTTCCTATTTTCCTTATAATTAACAAAATCACTTTATTATTGACTATAAGGTTAATACACTACCAGATTCTCAAAAAATATAACACTCTTTTTTGCTTCATTAACAAAATGTTGCGGAAGAGGAAAGATATTTTTTCGATGAAAGGCAACATGACCTAGTTTGCCTACCTTATTGTCATGCTTAAACCAAATGAAAAAAAAAGACTGAAAACAAAAACCTGTGTCTGGCTTTAGCAGAAATTAAAGAAAGTATAGTTTTTTTTCCCTTTTTTGTCAATGTCACATACTTTTTCCCTTAGCTAAAAAGAAAAAAGGCGGAGAGGTAACTGTCTCTCAAATGGAAAGAACGGCATATTTTTAATGTACATAACGAATAGTAATACAACTTAAAAGCTTAACTTTTAACTTAAATAAAAGAAGTGTAAAGGAAACTTTTAATGTGATAGCTACTTTTATTATTTCAATTGTGTAACTATTTGAAAATCGTGGCGCATATAGTTAATAAACATAGTTCTGAGCCTAGTTTACAGTTTTAATAATAGAGATTCCTTAACAATGGAGGGGATTTCTTCTTTTTTCAAATACCATTCTCTGCAAGATTTTTCAAGCATATGATCTATCTGTGGCTACTCTCTCTGGTGATGACATTTAAAAATCTTCCTTCTCTTGTTCTGCTGACCAACTACAAATAATATTTACACCGAATTTACTTATGTCATCTTGTTTCATGTGTAGGAGTTATATATTTCTTATTAATATACCACAGTTAGAACGCTTCCAACTAAGCTATGAAAATAGTCACGTGGTTAAAGTGACGTCAACAAATCTAAAGCTCATTGTAATCTTTACTAGTTTGTCAGAAGAAGGGTAACATACTCTCAGAACAATACGTATAATGGATAATACTAAATCTCTCGCATATGATTATTATTTTTTCAAAACTGTCCTAGAATTAGAAAAAGGTTTGTATGATTCATAAAGCATTTTCATTTAAAAAAATTATGATATTAGTCAAAAGAATAAAAAATACTTTATTTATTTGAGTATAATAAAGAATAGAATTCAATGGAAAAATAGTTTATAAAACAATGGAAGAAACGTTAAAATAGTAAATAGTCAAATGCTGTATAATTTATTATTTTGTGTTTATATTTTAGTCATCGCACTGGATGGTCTATAATAATAACTCCTATTAAAATATTAAAAAGACTATCTCTACTAACCAAATAAAGTAGTAGAATACATTTTAAAATTGGTTTTAGACAAATGTATTGCTGTTGGCCAATCTTATTAAGTCTGTTTTACAAATTGAAGAAAAATTGAAATAGTTTATATTACTTGAAAAGTCAATCAGTTTGTTTAGTGTTATGATATAAAGTTAAAAAATAGGCTTATTATGAATGACTTGACTAGAGAATATATTATTTAAGTTTAACAACATAATTATTAACGAACAAAGTATCACACTAAAAAACAAGAGACAGTTGTCAGGGTTCAATTGACAGGAAGTGCGGGATCCTTTAATACGATTGAATTTATTAGACTGGAAAGGCTTTGATGACCATAAAATTGGTTTTGCTAGGAGCAATGAAAGAAATATAATTGGTTAGACATTATCTCAACGCAAGTTATAATCAAAAACAACCATATTATCCTCTCTTTAGACAGAGAATTTATGTAATCAAATTTTTATCTCTTATACATATTTCTACTTTTCTTTACCAACAGTCAGCACCTTAAATTCATCGTTTGACAGTATGGACTCAAATATCTATAATAAAGTTATCCCTATCATATCGATTATTGGAATAATTAGTAATCTGGTTAATCTTATTATATTTTCTTATCGCTACACTCATTTAAGAAATCAATTTAAAAGAAATCTGACACCAACTACAAAATCTAGATACGCCATAGAAAAGGCAACTGTTTTCTTATTCTGCGCTTGGTCAACTTGCAATTGTCTAACCAGCCTTTTATTAATACCGTACATGTTCTGCCATAGAACAATTTTTGTCTTTGAATATAAATCTTTTAATTTCTTTTTTCGTCTCTATGGAGAAGCGTTGCAATACTTATTCAGTCATCTAGGAATATGGTTAGCAATGGTTACTGTAATATCCCAAATGATTTGCATAAGAGAGATCCAACGAGCTCATGTTTTCGTCAGAACGAGAAATCTTTGGTTGACATTAAGTCTAATACTTGTTACCGTTACAATTGGTCACATTCCAATGATGTTTAAGTACAGGTACAGATTATACAGAGGGAAGTTGAAATCTGAAGTTTTATACCTACTAGACATTGGCTGGTTCATGGGGTTGCCTGAGCAAGTTGTTTCTTGGCTTTGGTTAATTTTGGGCTACTTTTTACCATTACTTATTTTTGTGTTCTGCATAATAGTTATTCTAAATGAATTAAAATCCGAAAGAATAAGATTCAAAAGTACGAGAAGAGCTGTAAAAAGAGCAGTTTATCTTGTCTGTATTAACGCATTTCTCTTTCTCATTCTACAAACTCCATCACAAGTTTTTAGATTTATTTTGATCCCTTGGAATCCAGGTGAATTGAAAGAGACTTTTTCAAAATTACGCTTTATGGCTTCTCTTAGTGATCTATCAGCTATTTTATACTATGGATTTAATTGTTTCATTTGCTGTATTGTTGATAAAAAGCAAAGAATAACATTTTATAAGCTAATTTTATTTTGTTTAGGTAAAAATTTGATAGAGAATAAAGACTCCCAAGAGGATACTATATGAGAATTTACAGCTAAGTAGTTGTTACATAATTAAACAAGACAATCTATAGAACATAAGATTATATATTCTTTACTGTGTTGTTTTTCTTTCTCCGTTGACTTGTTTTTTAATAAATAAAAGAAAATAGAATATTTCTACAATGGCTAAGTCATGTCATGTTAATATAAGTCATAAGAGACAGTAGTATAGTAATATCCATTTTACACAACACTTTTCTTCTACTCTAATATCATGATCTTCATATTATAAACTCCATAAATCTCTTGGACATATTTCAGTAATAAATTTGATCTATTCCGCTATGTTTAATATTATATAACAAATATATTACAATATAAGCTAGATATTATACTCTTCAAATGTCTTTTAAATACTTTTTCTAATTACCTCAAACGTTCTTAAATTAATTCGGCTGTAATAGCAGGAATATTAAAGAATTTTCTCTCTTTCTTGTCTGATATAAAAGAACAAGAAAAGATTCGAAAACATTCTAAAAACTTTGTTACGTATTTTATTTACTGATTATATATTCGTATTTAGTTTAATGCTCTTTTGAAGAGATCGTAAAGCATCTTTCTGCCAAAAAGTGCCTCTTCAAATTTAATAGATTTTTGCTAATGTAATAGCCTATTTACACGGTAATATGACATAAAATCATAGTTTTGACATTTTTCCAGTATTATTATTTACGTTGTTTATTTGCTAACGTACTTGTTTACATATAAAACTGTAAATTTTTTTTTCTTTTATACAGCTTCCAATCCTATATCCTTTTATTGAAAGGGAATGAACCAAACCAATGTTTTATACGTATTTCTTTGATACTCGTGTTCTGTATGAAATTTTTTTTTTTTAGGATGGGGGAAATAATCAATTAGAAATATTGTAGACAATTTTTTCTTTCTAAGACCTATTTTTAGCGTCCAAACAAAACCTATTTAAAAGTTCTCCCTCCCTTTATCTTCGCCTTCACCCTTTTTTATGAATGTCTTTCGGATGCGCATAGTGTCAAACTTATAGGCAATTTATCAAGATAATAGAAATTATATAAACTATATATATAATATTCAGTATATATTACTTTACTGGTAAAAAGAATAATCTTTTATGAACAGACTTTTATTTTCTAGTACTGTTAGTCCACTCATTGATTTTCTTTTGTTCTGTCCTATCTTTTCGTTCTCTAATTCGGTCAAATGATAAGAAAGAAAAAACAGTTTAAGATTTATATAATAGAGCTTTTAAAATGAAGCTTATCTAAAGCATAACATACAATATACAGTATAAATTATAACAGATTACAAAGGTTATTCGAGTTCAAAAAATGACAAATCACCTTTTAATAATTATATTTCTTCTTTAACTATCTAATGATTGAATATCTAGTCTATAATTTGTTTAAAGGCCTTTTGACTATACTTTGATTATAAGAAAATATTCTATCTATCGAAAGGTAATGGTAAAACTGTTATAGAAAATGAATACTTAAAAAGTACGCATTTGAGGAAAGGAAGATAATTCGTAAAAACTAATATAACCAATACAATTTTACAATATGGTTTCCTGCTTCTATCTCAATAAAATCATAATCTGTATTACGTATTATCACTACCGAAAGTATAAGGAATCTGTAAATAATTCAATAATATAATACAATTAAATGATAGTTTTAAGTTTATATTTACAATTTTGGTCATTGGAAAAGATTTTTATCCTTTAGAACATGTTCATTCCTTATCTTCCTTAGCGGAAAAATATGCGTTGGAATTATTGCAAATTTTCATTCGATTTCATTCTCGGTTTCGGAATATAGTTTGCCAAAAATGACAACCTATCTACCATACATTCACACCCAACTTTAATAGGTATCATTTCCCTCCTCCAAGCGTGCATGATAACGGTCTGACCTCCTTTTAGGACTAAGGTGCAGTATCCTTGCCTCCTCCTCAGTAAATTAACATTACTTAAAGATGTAAAGCACTTTCCATGATTACTATTTGCAATTGTTATACATCCAGTTTCTGATGGGTGACAATAAGCTTCATTCAAAATACTTGGCCAATATTGAGTCGAATCCAATCGAGTGGTCCCAGCACATTCAGTACATAAATGTAGGTAACCATCGTTCTCTCGACCTCTTGGGCGACAGTAATCTGTTAGTTTCGTATCTGTAAGCGAGAGTCCGTCAAACGTTTTATTCTGGCCCTTAATCTCTTTTAAAGCGGAAATGATATCGGATCTTTTCAATATAGTCATTCCGGACACTTCTGTTAAACTCTGTAAAGTTTCACGAGAATTAATTAAATCTCTGAAATTTTCATCGGCTTCTCTCTGATTTTCAGCCACTATACCCGAATCAAAATATTTCAAGTAGTTCAGCTTATCCTCTCGAGTCCACTCTACTTCAGAATATTGCGGATGTAGTGATCTTAGAGTACCACACGGAATGGATATATTGTGAACAATTAGCGTAGAACACTGACCATCACCGAGAAATAGGAAAAGAAAACCGAGATGAAATAACCAACTCATCTCGAAGCCGTTTAAATTGAACATTTTCATTACAATCATTTTAATTCAGTATGATAACAGATAACGTTGTGTCAGATTCGATTATTCATTCATAAAGATATATTCTGTATGTATATATATATATATAATATAGAATTGATTATTTCGGCTAGTTATATTTTATCTACAGTCAAGTACTACTAATTTCCAAAGAAATCAAATGATATTTTTCTAATTTCTTTATTGAAAGACTTTACTTCTCTTTTAAAGTAAATACACTTGAAATTCCAATACACTCTTCATCTTAAGTATTACCATATTGATATCTATTATCAATAGACTCAAAGGGATAAAATGTTTTTCCAGTTTAATAATCTACGAATTTTTCTTCAATGAATAAAAAGAGCTATAATTACCTTTTCGTTTCACTTTTGATATTAATACACTGTCTTTTAAGAACCTGAAAAAAAGACACCCTAAGTAAAAAGTTATTAATAGTCTCAAATTTCTAATTTAAGGTGAATATAATTTTAAATAGGCGTATATACAGTAAATTTATATATACAATAAAGTAATAGATAATATTAAAACCTTTAAATATTTCATAGTAAAGTTCAAAATTAAAAGTTCACTGACCAATCTTTAATTGACCCTAAGACAGTTTGTTATATAATTTCTATATATACAGTATATATATGTTGATAAAAAAAATGACCATTTCGATGTATTAGAACAAAACTGACTGTAAATCGTATATTACTGTATGTTTGAATAAATAATATATTTTCCTCTTTGAAAGTCAGTTTCGTACAACTTAAAAGATAACTTAATATTTCTAAAACCTTATCTAGTCGTTTTTGTAAATTGTTTAAATATCTTTCAAAGCGTTAAAATAATCATTTAATCCATTTTATTATTTTTTTTCATACTCCTATTCTCCAACTTAAAATTGAAAAAAAACTATACATATGTATGTACTGATATTTTTTTGTATTGCAGCTTGGATTAATGACGTTTAAAGGTGACATTATACTCTATATGTTACTTCTGAAAAAGTATGTCACGTAGTAAATTTGATACCAAACATTCAATAAAAAACGTAATTTTCCATCTCAAGTTACTCATCTTATAAATAGAAAGTAGTATATATTTATTCATATCTTTACTTTTACCTAGTTTCACTTTTAAATTGTCGCATGTAAAGGTCATGTCCTTTTTTTTTTAAAGATCACCTAATTCATATGATTTTATTAATATCATCAATTTATCCTTATTGGTTGTATATGAAATTATAAAATAACGACCCCCGATACGTGTAAGAAAAAGAAATATATGTATTTATCGATATAACAATCTAGATGGCATCTTTTCATTGATATTTTTATACTATTTAACTATGCTAAATAAAAAGTTCAAATAGCTTGGTCCTGTATAATTACAAGCTTTATAAGCCGTAATAATTATATTAGATATTAAGTAACTCGTCTGTTTACTTCGTACTTATCAAACACATATATATATATCTAAATTATACAGTAGATATGATAAACCTTTTGGAAAAGATGGCTGTTGAAAATCAAAAATGCATATAACTAGCGTGATTAATGTTTCTGAATTGATTCCTACGCCTGAACGAGGATAATCCCTTGAGCCTTAATGAAACTTTTACAATTTACTCTTCTCAATCTTTTTCATCCGGTTTCACTTTTACTGAAATGTATCTCTTTTCCCTTTTCCATCTAACTTTAAAATTTTAAAAGAATACGACAAAACTTAAAGACAGTCTTTGTTAAAGAGACAATGAAAATGATGAATTACCCTTGTACATAAAAAAACGTTTATTGACATGATATCAGTTGCAATAGAGATGTAATTAAATATATTTTATCTTGTTGTCTGAACCTATAAGGAATGCGACGTGAGGTGATATGCTTTAGGTTTTTCTGTGTATTTAAATTTATGTTTTTAACATAAAACCCAATCAATCACTTGTTTAATTGTTATCTTTTATCATAAAATTTATATCTAATAATGTCTTTGTTTTCTATAAATAAGAAATAAAAAATAGAAAGGAATTCAAGAAGAATATGGTCAAAAAAAAGTGTACAAACAAACATTTTTTTATTCTAGGCTAGCAAAATCTTTAGGTTTTATTTCTCTTCTTTTCTTATTCTAATCTAACTTTGTTAGTCGACAAGGGAAGGAGTTAATTCAACCATTTAGTCGCCTTTCCAAACATTTCTACCTGCCTCTCTTCGGCTATAGATGAAAACAAGCACGTCGTTCGTGTCGAACTAGCCATTTAATTCGGTTTTGGCATAAAAAATATAATATTCAGCGTTAAAGCAGAAAGAAATACAAAAAACAATAATTTATCGACAAATGACGTGAAACTCTGCCAATAATTCGCTATGATTAAGTGACTCTTTTGTGTTGTCTCTTTATCGTCAGATGATGATGATAAGCATTCCGGTTTCATTGGAATTCCTCTGGAATGTTCCTCATAGTCTTCAGACGTTTTACATTTCTTTCGCAAGTTATGTATCTAGAAAATATTTTGATAAATAAAGAGAAAACTGGAAATATAAAAAAATCAATTTGTAAACCTGTCTGATTAATTTAGGTGGTACACACTTCAATTGGTTTACATGAACCATTATGAGAGAGAAAGAGATAACCAACGAATTAAGTACCAAGCTTATCCAACAATAATAACTGAGTTTTATATTTCCATTTGGCGGCATCAGTTGTACAATAATTAGAAAGAAAATTACAACTCCAGAAAAAAGAGCCATGCCCGTCGATGTCCTATCGGGTCTTGAAGGAGGTATTAGATATACAAAAGGTGTGATTACGGATAAAAGAACAACTGGTATAATGATAAACTGTGATATGAAGAAGCAAAAAAGAAAAGAAAAATGAGAAATTGCTTTACTTTTACCTTTTATACGAATTTTAAAAATATACCTGAACGTAGAATTCACTTTTACGACGAAGAACTAAATAAAAGAAGATATCAATGTAAGTATCAGAGCAGCAGCTATAATTACTTAGTTTTCTAACACCAAAAGTTTCGAGCATTGTAAACTCAGCGTTTTCTAAATATTCAGATAAATCAACAGGTGTATTCTCCGCTATTCTTATATCAATAAATTCACTTGAATGAACCCATGATCCAAATTTTAGGCTACAATTTTGAACGTCAAACGGAAAATCTCTCATATTAGTTTCGCAACTAGATTGATAAATTATTGGCGGTATCCACTGACATATTCCATCGTAACCCAAGAGTATGTTTATATCCAGGGTATCCTTTTCAATGTTTCTCCTGGATATGCTAACAAGCAAAGAGAAATAAAAAAGAGATTCATAAAAAGTAATTTAACTACTTACCTAGAATACAAGAAAATGTCAGGAACCCAAATATCGTGTGGTGATACAGTTAATTTTCTTATACCACCAAAATCTTTCGGATCCCAATTATGAATTTGATCTTGCCAACTCATCCTTTTCCATACTAAAAATTCAATATATTGCATCTTCTCGTTTAGTGAGAGAATTTGCACAAGCAATAGGCTAAAATTTACTTGTAGGGGTTCGGAGAATGTCAATCTTGGAATAACGTTTCGATTTTCCGAGCCTATTTTACTCTTAAGATATCGTCGTAACTCTAGTTCATGAGAAATATTACCTTTGGTTGAAGAAACTACTGAAACAATTACCAAAATAAGAATAAATAAGAAAATCTTCCAAATCCACTTCATTTAAATATAGATTTTTGAGCAATACGAGCAAACATATGCTCTTTCCTATCAAAAGACGGTTTGAAAAATGAGCAGAAGCACCTAATGCAAATCCACCCCTATCGGATTGTTGCTTAAATACATTTGCTCCCTGATATTTTCAACCTCAAAACATTCTTGAGAAAGAAAAGCAAACTATCAAAAGTAGACTTTTAAATTATAAAATTCTCCAGTATTGATAAATCTTGTTCATATAAAAAGATAAAATTTCTAAATAATCAATTTTCTTATTGATTAATAACTTTTTTTTTCTATATACTGTATATATTCTACTTCTAATTGAACATTACTAAAAGTCCTACTATATCCAGGTTCTATTCATTTTATTACTTCAATATTTTATTCTCTCGTAGTTTTCCATCCTATCTATATCTTGCAAATACCAAACGTAGTATTGAATTCTATACTATAAATACAATCAATCATAGATTCATTCTTTTATCGGTGAAATGCGCAATCCTGAAGATAAACATTTGCCTGAGATGTGGGAGAAATTGTTTCAACTGTTTATCTTGTGACAAGACATGCATAATATAAATAATAAGCAAGGATGTATATTATATTTACTATATATATATATATATATATATTCAATATAGAGTACTCTTTCCTTTTAATGTGTTTATGTTATCCCATAGGTGGCGACACACAAGCCTGAGCTGCAATTCGAGAGAATAATGATTATCAGCCTAAAAAAATCAATTATAGAATTGATCACTTTATTTAAAAAATTATTATGTTATTATTTCTCTAAAACAGAAAAAAAGGAGCAAAATAATACGAAATCGGTACAAAATGTAAAAACAAAACAAGAAAGAAGACGAAAAACTAAAAGTCAAAAAATCGAAAAACAAAATTATTTCCTTCTTTCTTTGCTTTTCTTTTTTTTTTAAAGAAAAAAGAAAAATACGAAAATATAAAAATAAAACATAAATAAGATCTTTAAATTCATTATGTTTTCTTTTTAAAATATGATATCCACTTTTCTTTCTTTTATTGCTCTGATTGTCTTTATTATCTTTCCTCGTTAAAAATAGTATATTACAGTATCTGTAAACTATACTTATTTGATTATAAAACTAAACTTAGTAAGATATACTGTAACGCATAGATATAAAAATAGAAGAGAGGGGTAGGGGGTAAAGAGTGATAAACAGACATAGAAAAAGTTATCATATTATCATATTAACATAACAATATCTTATTAATAATTCACTAATCGAATATATAAGTATAGATAAATTTTTTACTCTATTAATTCCCTTTAACGTAAACGTATTTACCGAATAGATAAAATAATGCTTTTATAAGAAAAACCTTATTGACTATCGAATACTTTTCTCTGTTTTTTAATATATATACATAGATTAGTGTAAAGATAATTTAACTTTCCTTATCCTTTTCCTTCTTTTTTAATGAAAACGAAATTGGGAAAGGGAATAAAACATATATATATATACAGTATATATACAGTATATATATTAGGCTATGCATATATATACATATATTTATATATGTGCATAGAACTTGAAATCAATAATCTATAAGGATATTATAGATCAAAAAAAAACACTTAATTGGTTCCTCTGAAAAGTAAAAAAAGAAGGAATTTTGGAAGTATTAATTATCTTTAACGAAAACTTATTTCTTTTACTTTAAATCTAATCAGAGGCTTTTAAAAATTTGAGTCTATTTGGTCTGGTTAGTTTTTTATAGGGTGCGTCTGGCGGTGACGGAATAAGAATCTTATCTTTTGAATTGACTGATATATACATATCCTTTTTCTTAGGTTGTAATACTTCTGGCTTTTTTAAGTGAGTTTGATCGTCCTCTGAAATTGAATTGAGGGAGTTTTTTATCCTTTTCTTTCGTCTGAGGAGGTTACTATTTATTAAATTGTAATTATCCTTTGCTAATTTATCAACAGGCGGTTCGGGTAGATCTTCCGCTATGCTGTCCAAATTACCAGGCGGTAGGAGTAATTTTTTTCGGGTTTGTTTCTGGAAGCTTTTTAGTGTTTGTAATGCCTCTTGAAGTAAACGTTTTGTTTCTACCTGACGTTCGTCACGATCGTTATTCGAAGACGAAGGTTCACTGAATCCGCTGGAATCACTTCCGCTTCTCTCTTCCTTTTCTTTTTCTTTCTCTTTTTCTGATTTGTCAGACATAATTAAATGCCTCTCCCTCCTTAACATTTTTCTATAACGAATCATTTCGTGAAGGTCTGCAGCACTAGCAAATTTCACTTTATATTCCTTTTTATCAGGTCCAATGTACGATTTTTCAGCAGAGTACGATTTCGATCTTAACCACATATCTACGTCTAAGGGGGGATCATCTAAAAGCTTGGGCTGCTTCTGCCTTTCGCGCCTTAATTTTCTCTCTTCGTTTATCAACTCCCTATCCTCTTTTGATTTAACAGTCTCCCGACTGATTATTTCTGGCTTATTAGTCTGAGATAAGTACGATCCTCTTAAAGTCCCTTTCCTTAATAAATTCTTTCCATCGTTGTTTAATTCTTCCTCTTCTTTTCTCGGTTTTTCCTTCTCTTTATCGACAATAACATACTTTTCAACACGATTATCGAAGGTAACTGTCTTTTTTAAAGGCTTTAACATCTTATTTCGAGCGTCTTTTTCGGCTTTTAAAGCCAGAGCAGCATCCTGTTCATTCTGAAGTATATATTTTGCTGAATATTCTAATAACTTTTTTTCCCTGTCCTCCGCCTTAATAGAAGGTAATTTTCTCTGCTTGGGGGAATATACTTTTCGTGCGTTTATGTGTAACGGTAACTGAATTGTTGGAGGCTGTTTTAAATATTAACAATTACCGTTTGTAGCGTTAACAAACACAATAAATAATTTTACAGTGATGAACACATAATTGGATTAATTAATGTTTTTCGAACCTCGTTTAAATCGATTCCTTTCTTTTTTCTTAATTCCTTTAATTTTTTGGAGTAGGCCATCATCGATTCGTTTGCCTGAGTTTGTTGCTCCTTTAAACTAGCGACGCTCAATTTAATCTCGTTTTCAAATTTCTTGACTTTCTTCTCGTAATCATTATGTAGTTTTAATGGAACAATGGTTTGATTCGATAGAATCATCGATCCTTTCAAGTAACCAGAGCTTGTCATAATTAGTATATGAAATTTCACATTTATCGATCATTCGACGCTGGCCGGACGCTTTGTAGTAGGACCGTCTTACCCTTTCAATAGAAATGTCTACTATTACGATTCGTCCATTTACATAACAGCTTATAACTGTCTGTAAAGTAAATAAAGTAGAAAAGTAATTTTTTCCTGTAAAGACAGTGGACAGTAACTAAAGAAATAAACACCCCCCCAACCAGAGTCAGCGAACTGGATTAAGTTATAAAGAAACCGTCTTGAATAGAGGCTATTGTTATTTTTACAGGATTTATCTAAGGAGAGAAAGAGAGAAAAAGAGATATATAGACAGACATAGAGAATGACACATAGGTTGATTGAGAGTGTGTATAGGTGAGCCAACGAAAGAGAGAGAGAGAGAGAGAGAGAGAGAGAGAGAGAGAGAGAGAGAGAGAAAAGAAAGAGAGAAAAACGAAAGAAAAGAAGGGAGGGATATAAGGTAAATAAATTGATTTATTCTATAACAAAATTCATAATCAATTTTTCATAGACAGAAACTCTCTCACGTAGCTAGTTAAAAGAGATTTTATTATATCTTCAGTATTTAATATTTTATAATAATAAAATAATATTTAACTAGGAATAATAGAGATAAGCACTAAAAGGAGCACTACAATCCATTTAGTAGTAATAAAAAAAACGATATAAATGGTAAGAACGAAATATTAGTAAATTAATACTTACAAACTTTCAACTCCTTTACAAACTACTAACTAAATGAGTCGCGAATAGTCAAACAAAACAGCGGATCTTCATCGGAAATCAATTTCTACTCGTTCCAGATAAAAATCACTCTAATTGTTTTTCGTCAAAGTCACGTTTGTCGTACAAACATCGATCGGAAGTGTTTGAATGGAAAATAAAAGGGAGCCGCCTTCATATTTTACAACCTTTTAGAATTATAAAAAATATAAGGGAAAAGGACTTTAAAAGAGAATAGATATAATGAAAAGAGTATATTTTCAGCCTATAAAACTTAATTACGATTTTACCCTTTTATAAAAAGATATCGATAAATTATTAAAAAAGTTTTACAACGAAAATGAACTAGTCTTTTGTTTTCTTTTATGTATATTTTTAATTTCTATCCATTAAATTTCAGGTGTGTTTCTAGATTACATAATTGCATTTTTATTGAAACCCGATTAAGTAAAGAAACTAGTTTAAACGCTTCTTTTCTCTATATTTGAAAATGGTAAGAGAGTAGAATTGTAAATAGGAATAATGTAATTTTGTTTTCTATTCTTGTAACTAATAGTATTAAGGGATTTTACAAAAATAAATTTTCTCTTTAAAGACATACTGTTAAGGCTATTAAATACAATTGGATATCAATTTAAATACAGCATAGACTTTATATTAAGTATTCCCCACTATATACTTATATATATATATATATATATATATTAATATAGTATAAATAATTACAATACCTACCTATTATATATTAATACTACTTTTTTCCAGTTGTTTGATTATATGTAGTAGATGGCGTAAGCTGTACTCTCATTCGTTTTTGCTTACTCTACAAACTAACAAGTTTTTCAATTAGTTGTCTTTTTTTATTGTTATTGTCATTTTCTCTTGATGAATGTAAAGAATTATTTTTCGCTTACCATTCACTTTTTTTCCGCTTATTATTCAATTCATTTAGATTTTTAATTTTCCTAGTGTAGTTTTACTATTCAAAATTGTTGCTACTATTATTAGACAATATATTTATTGAATAAAATTCACTCAGCGACTGATGGTTAAACTTTACATAAAATATTCATTCTCTAAATAATAACGTACTATAGATGTAGATACATTATTACATGACTTGGCATTTCTTAACGGTTGAAGGAGTGTAAATACGCATGTATAATATAATTTATTCTTTATGTTGGTACACACCATAGCTTTTTATTGAGCTTCATTCAAGTACAGATATTATCAACAAGTGAAATCATAATTGAGCGATGATAGTGATAAAAAACATACCAATTATAAATGGCGTGACTCGAAATGACCTCAAACTGAATAGGACGCTTGAATGAACATACGTTCAGGTAACGCGGTCGGGCGATGCGTCGCGTCAAATGTTCAATCATTTGAAAAGCGTCTAATTTCGATTTATGAAAATTTCATTAGCTCTCCGGTCAAATTCTATCAATTTAGCTCAGCAATTGTTTCATTTTCACCCTTTTCGACCTTGCATCTTTTTGAAGTTGCGCATGTGCTTCTTTGAAATTAAAAAGGCGATATTTCAGCATTGAATTTCCAAATGCAGAAAAGCTGAAAAGTGTACCGCCCACGTTCTCTTTAAAGCAGGTGCAATTTTGGCTACTTCAAAGCGATTTAATAAAATTAGACGAAAATTTACAGCTATCATGTCCCTTAATCCTTCTGCAATAAAACGTCTCAATTAAAAAACGCTCTAATCAGTGCGGATTTTTTACAAGGGCAACCGTAATGCCTTTGGCTATTATTCTAAACAAAAAGACACTCGAAACTCATGATTGAACACCTCCTCATAATCGCTCATTTTCTCGCAGCTGCTCCCTTTGTACAAGAATCTATTTCCGTTCAAAAGCCGACCTTCACCTCCCACCTTCTATAAGAATCCAATGAATTTACATAACACGTCCTCCTTTTTTTTCTATTTATTAGAAGATGGGCGGAGGAAAGATGAATTCAGATCGGGTTAAATGATAATAAATACTGCAACACCCGCACACACGCTTCTGCACAATTAACATGCGCAGGTGTAAAATATGACGTCACCACTGACGTCATCATTGCATAATTTACCATCTCGCAACGTCTACATGAGAAATTTATTGTGGATGATAGAATTTTTTCAAGTCGAGTACTTATTCGCCTGTCTAGCATCAATTTACATGCTTTATTCAAAATTTGCTCGCTTACAAACTGTTTAATGACACGTTGACAAACTGCGTTCAATCTGTCGAATAAAAGAGTAATGAACTAAACAAAATTTTTACTTTACTACAACAAATCTAAACCTATTTCATAATAATAAATAATAAGTATAATGCTATTTAAAAATAGCATATTGCAAACATTATCTATAGGGCAGCATAAAGTAATAGTTATTAAGTGATGCGATAAAACTTTCTACTGCAAGTACAGCACATAACATATAAATTCTTATGTCTCTTTTTTTTGTCGTTTTTTTTGTGACATATATACTTAAAACAAGAAAATAGACAGGATACTGTAAACACTGAAGATGATAAGATATAGCATATTTTATATACCGAATATTGCATTAATTTATGTAATACATACTAAATATACATTATATATAGTGTGTATATACATTTATATATTTCAATGTATATATTGTGTACATGTTATCGTATTTATATATTTATACGGTATATGCTTTAAGTATGCTTGTTAGAAGAATTACTAAAAGTTCAATGAGAAACATCCTCTTTCTTTTGTAAGATCTTGATTAATTCTGTTTGAAGCTGTTCTGTAAGAAAGGTTTTTGACCAAATATTAATATATTTATAAAATACAGAAAATTTAATCTGACGCTTGGCACGTGTCAATTAAAAAGATGCCAGGCGGAAAAAAAGCAGGTCAAACTGTCCATCCCCCAGGCGAAACTTGTATGTTTTATTACCGAGCTGTCAATGTATTTATAAAGCGAAGTGTCGGGTCCTTTGAGATTTTACATCATTATTGTAATAATTCCTTTATAAATATAACAGTTACTTTTTAGTTTTATTCGTTTAAATAAGAATAATAGCGGTTTTTTTTAATTATTTTAAGCTAAAATGTTTGTTTAATAGATGTTTATTTTCGCTATTAATTAGGAAAATGGAGGATAAAACAGGACAGGGTTCACCAATTACATATATTTATTCTCATAGGACATTAGCTATTCGAAAAAAAATGATTAAAATTTGTAAATGACAGCTCACATATTAGCTTTATTATGCCCTTAGAGAACTATGGAACGTGACTGGGCAGCTCACTCACCTCTGGTCATGTTGTATACAGCGTCTAAAGAGGAGTCACTTTTGTTCTTTTCCTGCAAAACAATTCATTATATAAGCTGGTTTTTCGAGTAGCCTCGGATAATCCCGATTTAAAATAGAACGAAACTGGAGATCAAAGGCGGCTCTTCGTTATAAAGGTCATTTAAGGCAGATATTATATGTAAATCGTACTCGAAATTCGTTTGAACTTTATAAAAATATTACAAACAAAGCTCGGCCGCTCGCCACTCTCTTTCCCTTTTATAATATTTATTATATATAATATTATACTATAAGCGTCAATTATGATATTTTCATTTCAAACAAAAAGAATGTTTTGGTTGTTGAATTCTAATTACGATTTGAGAAGGTCATATCTCCAATGAGAGGATGACATTTAGAACAGACTGTCTTTGTTTTGAGTACATTTACTTGCTAATCACTTCGTGACTCTGTCTGCCAACGACAGATGTTTGTCTTGGCACTGGCAAACATTCATGTTTTCAATACATTCATGTATTTTCATTAGTTGATTGAATACACTGGAATCGTAAATACTGCAAAATGCTGCGATGAATTGTCAATGCTCACTCGGCTATGACAAACCTCGATTGCTCGTTTTAATCGAGTTTGATCAAAACGTTTATCGCATTAAGTTCTCTTCCGCCCTCAAAATTTACCAATAAAGCTTAAATACATACAATAATATATTCATTCGAATCTTTCCGGAAAACAAATTATTGGCAATAAGGAAAAAAGAAACGCCTGAGGGCATGGAGTTGTATATGTTTACACTCTAGATTATATTAACAGGTGGCTGTATACTACATGTCGATTAATTTCTTTTTTTTAACAAATTTGATCTAATAGCCGTATAAATATAATTAGAAATTAATTTGCGATTACTATCGATTGATTTATTATTGATTAAGTAAATTACCTGTTCAGTTGTCTCCATTTTCGCGTCCAGGGGCGTCGAGGCGTCGACGTCGGTGACGTTTATGTCGTCCGGACTATCAGCTTCCCAGGGCACATCGTCCCTCGGCGTTGACGGCGTTGAACGCTCGTCCTTACAATTTTGATTGGCCTCTTTCTCTGCGGTTTGCCCCATTTTGCTAAAATCAAATCTCTCCGATTGACCGAAGCTGAGATTTCTTGCCCATAAATAGCCTAAGGGGTTAATGTAAGGGGGCGGAGCTTTTTTATTCCAAAATTCCAAAGCGTTCGCCTTATTCTGGACGGGGACATCCGGCACTGGAGGTGAGAAAGGAAAGAAAGGAAATGCCGGATGAGGAGATCTCGGGACGTACGGCGGATTGTTGAATGGCAAAACAGGGAGTCTCGTTGGCAAAGAAGGATTAGGCGTCATCATCTTGGGTCGCTTATAATTCTCCTCTTCCTGTTTAGGAGGCGATTTTGAAGGTGTTATTATCCTCTTTCGGGAGCCGCCATTGAACATTGCTTTAACATCCTCCCAAGCGTGAACAAGCTCTTCATGGGGTTCGGTATAATCTAGGTGTAAGTGCCTTCTCCAAGAATTGAAATTAGCTGCATCTGGATGTTGATATTTGGCATTGGGAGTACGATGAAAATGGAAGATAAATTTGTTAGGCGAAAAGAAGAGATCGCAAAAAGAACAACGAATACATTTCGCTCTGGAACTATTATAACGTGAGGGTACAAACTGACCCTTACAACCCCAGCCACATTCGTGATAGACGTTAAAGGCAAAATTATCGGGCAACTTAGGAGGTGATATCTCTTCTAGAAACGACGTTACCAAGCGTTCGGCTTCTCTCTTCGTAATCATACCACAACGGCGAGATGATATTGGCATAGCTCCAGCCCTCCTTAATATTTCTAATTGTACTGCTCATTTAAAAGAGTCAAATTCAATATTTAATTAATTAAATATTGTATTTAAATTACCTGGCGTGCATTGGACACAAGTTATACCAAGGGCAACTCTTCGATTATGAATTTCGTTATATGAATAATTTTTTAACAAGGAATTTGATATCTGAGCCAAGCATAGACGTTCTTTTCCATCAATAAACAAACTTACAATAGGCACCCCGTGTAGAATAACAGTGCCAACTGTATTTTGTCTCGGATCAAAATCATTAATATCCGATGTTGTTGGAGGAAAAGAACCAGGTAACAAAGCTGTTGTATTATCCATTCTTTAATTTCTTTTTTTCTATCTTTACCTTTTCTCTCTATCTTTTTTTCTTTTCCTATTATATATTTAAATATATTAAATATGTAATACTCTATCTGAGAATTTTTCCTTGCTCTATTTGCTTTTTTCTCTCTCTCTCTCTCTCTCTCTCCCTGCCTCTGTCTGTCTGTCTGTCTAGTTATCTTTCTTTCTTTCTTTTTCTATCTCTCTCTTTCTTCTCTCTTTTATATTTGATTCGTATACTGTATATATAAATATATATATATATATATATATATACACTCTTTCTAATTTATTTTCAAAAACCTATAAATAAAAAAGAGAAAAAAAACTTGGATGTAAATTCGATGAAATTACCCGAATATGTACTCGAAAAAATTCAATCAACGACTTCCATTGACCTACGAAACGACGCGTTCACGAATATGCGATTACGAATCGAGCAAGTAATAAATAGGATAATTCACTAACAAATTGCGAGAAAATGTTCAACCGACTGGAAGAAGAGCAAGCTGACGCGCAGCTGAGGTTCGCGAAGCTTTCAAATATTATATAAAATTCTAATATGTTTTATAAACATCATTTATACATAAGACAATTTATAAAATTTCTACAAATATCTGTTTCTTTTATAAACAAATCTTATAAATACTTGATAGAAATTACTTCTTGATTTATTAAGGTAATTTCTAGGAAAATTAAAAAAAATAAATATATCACCACCGGAGGGAAGTAACATATATAACGTCATATATAACAATTAAAATATTTTGTTTAGCCTGTTAGATCTTGAAGATATTGACGATTTATCGAAATTTGTGCCTACTTTTAGCTGCGACCTTTCAAAAAAATTAATGTAAAAAACTTGCTTTATCTTTCTTATTTGAAAACAAAATAAGTCTATTTAAAATTGTCGATAAATTAGTAAATATAAATGTTTTTATATATATTAATAGATTAGTTAAAATAATAAGGAAAGTAAGTTAAAGTCATACATACCTCTAATTACTAAACTTTAAGTTTCGAACTCGGGCGGAAAGCCAATGGACGATCAAAGGAAACGTTTACCAATGATGTTGATTGAATGTAACAACACAAGACATATGCAGCCCAGCAGGACATTCTCTCTTGCCTTGCCCTTGTTTGTACTGGGTGCTGATTGGTCAACTTCCACAAGGGGCGAGAGCTGATTGGTTTAAAATATTCTTTATTGCATAAATTTTCTCTACAGTAACATAAAAAAAACGTTTATATTTACTTTCACGGAATATTTTTTTCCTTTCTCATTTAACTATATTAAAAGTTCAACTTAACAAAAGTCATTTTTTTAGCATTGGAACTGAAAGTCAAAGAGTTATTTTTATCACTAACCAAGTGATAATTAAATTACTAAACTGACAACTGTCTTGTATTATATTCCATTTCTCGTAACAGTATCGACTCTTATTCGGTATCTTTTCCAATTTCTTTCAAAACATCTTTATGCGTTCGTTTCGTTAAAGTTGAATGTTTTTTCTTTACATTTTATCTCTTTTTATATAGTTTATTAGAATATGTATATGTGTATATAAATATATATATTAATATATAGAAAAGAGTATCAGAGTCGTAAACAACAATTAACATAAATACTCTGTAAACGCGAAACAACCGTAATATAATGGCAGTGTAGAGTGCATAATTAATATATGAGTTTTATTGCGAAAACAAGCAGCGGTGCATAAAAAGTGAAAAAGATGAGAAAACGTTCGAATAAATTTTACAGTATTGTATTTATAATCATAGTTAAAAGGATTTACACCGCAACCGACTGTGTTTTAAAAGCTGCTGACAATTCTTTAGGTGAACAAAAGATGTCGGACATTAAATATTCCTCTTAAGTTTGCTTTCGTGTTTGTAATAATTGAATACCATTAACTTTTATGTTTTTCTATTTTCGCTATAAAGTAAATTGGAGAAAAATATCGAATTGATCATGAAGAAATAGAAATAAATATGACAAAGATTACTATCCATTGAACAGTTCTCATCTTTAACTTGCTTTCTTTTGTTAAACTCTTAAAGACAGATAGAATGAGTGTTACTTTTATTTTAATGAATTATGTATAGAAATAATAACAAAAAGTATGTAGTATATAGATTCATTTATGTATAAATATACAATTATATATATATATATATAGAATTTGGAATATATATATATATATATTTATGTATATATAATATACAATACAAGAATTATTCACACTCGATCATGGGCATCGAACAAAACGTAATTGTATTCAAAAAGAGTGCATACATATTTCTAACCAAAATGAAATATCATCCTTGTTGTTTTTCCATTAAACGCATTATTGACGTCTTTTATAAGTACATATTAATATAAAGTACATTAGATAACCGATATGTACGTATATGTTATGCAAAATACCTCTTTTTTTATACATGAAGTAGGATATTAATTTAAAATAAAGCATAAAGTAGTTGTGTTTTGTTTAAGTTAAAATCTATTATTTCTAATAGTTTTTTATTTGTTTACTTATCTTTTCTTACCCACCATTTTTCTTTTGAATTTTTTTACTTACTCCAAATATATAGAACAATTAAACATTGAAAATTCATATAAGTTCTTACATCTGGCGTATTATAAAGCTCTCTACCTATATACGGGCTCAACAAATAAATTCACATCAAAAGAGCAGTTCTTTTTTTTTTACCCTCCTTCTTTCCCCCCTACCCCCTCACCTCCTCTCTCTCTCTCTCCCCCCCCTCCTTCCTTTTTCCAAAACATCTACGTCATGTATTTATCCCATTTTTCTCCTTACCATTTGGTCCTTCTATTACTTGTTGCATTTACCCCTACTAGTGAAGAGGGTCAATTATTTCTTTTTGCGCTACTAAAATAGAAATCTAATTTAAGATTATATTCTTTGACCGTCGAGATAAATGAAAAAGTGTTTATTCGATGTAAAAATAGCTTACGTAAACATAAAATGACCGTATAAACCAAACTTCTGGAATTTTGTTTTGATAAATACTGAATTTATAACATATGTACAACGCATATAAAGAGTATATAGATAATTAAATAAAGAGAAATAATATGTAATGCGCTTTTAATCAAATGCCCGGCATATTTATTATGCATATATAATGTCTGTTGATAGAAGTAGTTAGAGGTTTGCGCCTGCGCTGTGCATTAAATTGAAAAGAACGTTTTATTCGACGCTCAGCAATAAATTAGCAGTTTGCAGTATAGTTCTATACTTTATTCAATGGCTATTTTACGAGTACAATAAGTTGCTTTTGAGCGCACCATTTAAGCTTATTGTATTGTTCCTTTTAAGATATTGTTACTGTTCAATTAATCAATCCTACTTTGGCTTTTTTTCTTGTTCTAAATATGAATCAACAAAAGACCTCTTGCGTTTGACGAGACGCTCTCTTTTTTTTGTCCAAAGCTTACACGATTAATCATCTTGGAAAAAAAAACGGTGTCTGAAAGGACGATAGTTTGACTGCAAAAGAGCGGTCGCAGTAGATTAGGCGTCTAAGCTGAAAATTGGCAATTAATGTGTTGATGAAGCCTGATAATTGCAGTGCACCAAGTATATCGACTTCTCATTAAGTGAGTTGCAGACACACATTTCATGGGAGACGAGATCTAATGACAATAAATGTTCTCCTCCCCCAATCGATCGTAATTTAGGAGAGTAATTCCTTATAATTCATCACTATTATATATTATATCGAACGCGTGCATATCGTTCATCTAAGATAGTGTTCGACCGGGCGTCGCTAATAGTCAAGGCGTCTGTGTGGAAAATATTATCAAATTTGATTTCAACGCCTCGGCACCACGCAGGCCAAAGGTTAGTGCGTAGGGGCGTCACTCGGGGAGCCTTTGTCGTCACGGAATTAGCTTCGGTGTGATTTCCGTATGAATAGACGCTTCAACACTCGTCAACATTAATTAGCGAACGTTCGACGCGACGACTCTTTGCGCGGACACGCGTACCTTTCATTAAACTTTCATTAAAACATTTACCGCACAAAATTACTATAAAATGTCAAACAGATTCGACGTTTGTTTTTTAATCAACGAAAGTTCATTAATTATTTATTTACAGTTTAGCTTTTAGCTTTTCCTGAATTTTTAATCTACAGCAATTAAATGCATCGTCAAGGCACCAAAAACTTCAACCTTTATCAAAAATTCCCTTTTTCCATCATATTTATACGAATATAATTAAACTGAATAACAAAATAATTAGATTATAAATGTCGGACAACTACGGATGTGGTCACAGGTGGATGAGCGCATGCGCCTGGCGATTGAAGTCACCATCTGTCCGTAACGTCGTCATACATAACATTTTATGCACGAATGACCAAACTATTATTGCAGACTATTGCGGTTGAAAAAGTTCGTACGAGCAAAGGTCGTAGCAGCGAGAATATTTCACCGACCTTTCCTAACCTGTACACTTCAAAGGATGTATGCATCGCACCTGGACAGTTGATTACGGAAAGGTTGTTTTTTTTCTTCTACAGTAACAATATACTGTATATAAGTTTTAAAATATCAAAACACGTTATTCAAGTACATTTTCATTATTTGTGATAAAATTCTCTCTTTCTTTCCAAATGAGGGAAAAAAAGAAATAAAAATGAAACAAGCATAAAAAAAGGATTATTCTCATTTTTCTTTTCCTTTTTATGTAAATTTAATTGCTATTCTTATAAAGAGAAAGGGAGAAAAATTTAATTCAATTTTCTCTTTTCGATAAGCAACATTTTAAAGTCAAGGTCATTAATCAAAAGAGTAACACTGAAATTACAAACTATCTAATGCTTCTTTGTGTGTCATGCGTTGTGAAAAGATGTAAGTTAATCGCAGTTTTTTCACAATAGAAAATAGTTTCAAGTGTCATCCTTTCAGTAACTCTTTCACTTCAACTAATTAATTTTTTTCCATTTCGTAATAATTTCTCGTCTCGTATATTTCCATAGAATTTGCAAATGATGCTTAACAATAATAATTAGTTTATAATGCTATTTATTCTTTCTGTCCCCCTCTCTTTCTTTCTATTTGTCTACTTACAACCGTTTTTACTCCATTTATCTTCTAATCCCCCTCGCCACCCCTTCTCTCTCTGTCTCTCTCTCTGTCTCTCTTTCTCTGTCTCTGTTCTATTTGTATCACTTATTATTAAATTTGATTTAGAATCATAAATTTAACCTTTACTTGATTTAACTCTCTAAACAGATCTATATTAACGTTTTACGTATATTTTTCTTTCTTTCTTTTAGTTATTCTTTGCTTTTCTCGCTTCCTTTTCCCGCCATCATCTCTATGGTTCGTGTGTGATGTCTAAAACTACAATTAAATATCTTTTATACTCGATAGATGGCACTATTAAGTCTAAGATTTATCGTTACTTATTTTGAAGAGTTTTAAGTTTTTCGACAGGTGTCGCTTTATTAAGAAGCCGACGTTTTAAGGCATTCGGCCTGAGATTGATTCTGAATCAGCTTCAATACGTGAAAAATACACTGTTTATTTCGACAATATGATCCAAACAGCGAACACAAACCTATTGGATATTATTGAATTGTAGAATATTTATTAAAGTTTGTTAATTATTCATATTTATGCATAAAACAAATAATTAATAGGCGGCAAAATCTGTAATTATTTTTAAATTGATTTCCTTTCAGATTTAGTATGCTTATATTAAGAACTTTATCATGATTACGAGAAAAGAACGGATATCCAGATTTCGAAGGTATATTATATCGAAAACTTTTAAAAGATCCTTTGAAGTGTGACCCCTCAACTTGAATTACGTAATCCTTATTAATATTCCTAATGCCTGTATTGAATTTTTTTGTGCATGATACACTATTAAATGTAACCTTAGACCAAAGACGCGTGTATACAGTATGTAACTTTTGTGAACATATTCAACGGGAATATTTTAATCAGTCATAAAAAAAACCACAGTAGTTCGCTTAATTAAAAAGGGAAAAAAGGGTTACATTCCGAACGTTCTTTTAATCCAGGGCAAAAATATTCGAGCTGAAGAAAGCGCTTCGTTTTATTAGCGTCGATAGCTTGCGTTTATTTTCCCGCCCTCTTCCTCCTATCATGTATAAGTGATGCATTGAACTCACCTACGTCAGCATCCTACGCCGTGTTTACGGAAAGATTACGTAGTAAAGTCTGCCATTTATTTATATTTAAGCTGATACGGTCGGCATATTTCTCAAACGCTCGTATTAAAATTGAAAATAAACATTGAACGACTCTTGAATAGTTAGAATATATTCACAAGTTTCTTACCTTTCGCCCCTTATAGTTCAATTTAGCTTAACTTGACACTTTAACCTTAAATCGTATAGAAAAGGATCGTAATGAGAATAAAACTCCCTAACCATTCATAACACAAGTATAATTAATAATAGAGTTTTATTTGGATTCTTTTTAACAAGAACGATGTTTTTATGTTGTACAATCAAAGAAAATCCATAATTTAGTTAAACCTCAAACAATTTAAACGTTCACAAAGAATATAAACTCCCCAGTCTAGTATGAAAAGGTAAGGCTAAGTTACGTTTGAATATAAAATTCACAGCTCCGATATGGTTTTAAAAATGCATAAATTATGCAAATATAAAAGTCTCTTAATCGTTTTATTAAATTTTAAAGTAAACAGAAAAATTGGTAAACGCCACATATCGCGTAATTGACATCTAAAATGAACAGGTGCATCGCCTGCTTTTTCCCTTAGCCTTCTCTCTATCTCTGTCCTTTTCTATTTATCTTTCCTACCCTCTATCCGCCTGTCTTGATACTTTTTCCTTCAATATACTGTTCTTTTGTTACAAGGCTACGTATTCCACAACTAAATTATTTATAAACTATGTTTCCAGCTTTATTTCTCCTTCCATGAGAAGAACTCTTGATCGCCCGCCCTTTTCTTTCTTTATTTCCTTGCCCTATCATTTCCCATTATATAAAACTATGTGAGCATATTTTGTTAATATCTCCTAACATTTCTCCTCATCTATTAAAAATCCCTGAAAGAGATTTATGGTATAGATATATCTTTAATATAGACTATGTAGCTAGCAATATACATATATAAATTTATATATATATACAGTATATATATATATATATATATATATATATATATATATAACCTTTTCTCTTTTGTTTCAGGTGCAACACACTCTTACATGGTATTCTAGAATCAAAGTGGACGCAAGTCATTATCATCTTCTTATCGATAGCAAAAGCATTATTAAACGTTTTTCTAATATTAATAGCGTTGGATTATTTAGTAGGTAAGGAGAAGAGAAATTTTATATTTTTATTACTTTGTTTATGTTTAGAGAATTCTTCGAATGCTTTGCTTTTTTTATCTATTTAAATATTTCACCCATCAAAAACCTTGCAAGGGTCTTTAACCGAAATAAAACGTATATTGAACTTATACAATCAACAATAAAAATAATCAACACGCCAGAGAAAAATCACCCCCCTTCCCCCCTCTCTTTTCCTCTCTTTCCCCCCTGTAGAGTTGCACTTGTGTCAACAATCAATTCATTTATTCGTTTTTCTGGTTTTCAATTATTATCTTTCAACTTTTAAGCGGGTTTATGAAATTAGTTTATAAGAGGACTTTTTTCAAAGATATTTAAGTATTATATATATTTAAACTTTATGTTTATTTGTATAAATATAATAGAAATAGGAAATATGCGGGTAGCTTAAAGGCTTATGTAAGTTGGGATGAAATTTCTATATATCACCGTTTATATTGCATAATGTATGCATATGTAAATATGAAAGACGGCAGGTGCGTCATAAATTACTCTGAGAAAATAAAAAAGAAAGAGGAGGAGAAGAGAGAGAGAGAGAGGGGGGCAGAGAAAAAGTAAGGCGAAAAGGAAGAAGCAGGTGACAAGGAGGCTAAAAAATTTTTAAACAATTTATCATTTCTCGCTATTCCGCTCGTTTGCGTGATCCCGCTTCCCTGGCTAGCTTAAAGTTTTTCTTTCCATTCCCCCAATAGTAATAATTATAACCGTATAAGTTTACCTTTTCAGTAGAATGCGTGAGAAAGAATTTCTTTAGAAATACAAATAACATAAATTAATAGAATAAACAGATGGAAAGAAGAAGGATATATTGTTGACTATTAACGTCAAACTTGTTAATTTAGTGAACAAAATTGGCAGGTAAAAAAAGACGAAAAAATTGAAGTAGACAGATAGAGAGACAAATAGACCGAGCAATTCAATACTATTGAAAAGAGCATGTTTTACATTAAGTTATTGTTACCCTAAGTCGCTTTTTATTTCTTATATTCCCTTTGTAAGATCTATACGCCAAGGTAGTAAAATATACGTAAAAAGGAGTATTTCTTTTTCATGATTTCAGACGGAGATTTCAATACGTCTGTAGTTTCATTTTTACTTTATGGTCTTCTCATTTTACACATTTGTTTACTCTTTACACAGATAAGAATGTCGAAAGCGATGATGAGAAAAAAAATAGTCTAAAAGCCGTTCAGGTGACCCTGTTCTCAATCTGCTTATTCATAATTTCTATATTCATGTTAGAGGTTTGTATTTATCTCTTTAAACCAATTGATTAAAGACAATAAAAATAATTATAGTAAAAAAACAAATAATAGATAATAAGTAAAATAACGAGGAAAAAACCTTTAATAAGAGGATTATAAGTGGTGGGTGGTTGAATGGGTAAAGAATCGAAGAATATGGATTATTTGACCTAATAGCGTCCTTTGTTAATTAGGTGTATAATGTGGTGAGAAGAAATATATATATTTGTATTTTATATATAAATATATAGGTGATTTAGGTTAACATAGAAAACTTAAGTAAAAAAAGAAAATCCAGCGTTGAGTGTGAAAATTAACAAACGTTCGTGAAAATTTACGCAGGGGATTCACAGCCTAAAAACCGTCAAGTGTATTTGTTATCTTTTAAACATTCCCTTTTGAGACGATTAACCTTTTAACCAATAAGAGAAAAAAATTGAATTCTTACCGCCTTGTTTATCGACCATTTATTACTTTAGCTAAAACTGACCTCATTTTTTTCCTATGAGAAAAGAGCGTCCTATTTGGTAAATAGAACTAGGCCGCAAAATAACGACGCCGGTCTCGGTCTTCTCAATATGAGAGAAGAGTAAACAGGCAACCTTATCTCCTCTCTCCGAATGCAAACAATCGTAAAAAGTCTCTTTCTCACTTTTGTTTTCCAACTTTTATGTTACTTTCCTTATGTGTATCAAAGTTTCTAGTTATTTTTCTCGTTTCTTATCTTACCAAATGGATAATTTATACACACAACAATTTTATTGTCGCTAGTCATCGTTTCTTTATTCTTTATCAACAGATTCTATTAAGGATATTATGCAGACAATTGACCATCTTGGACGAAAAATTGGAAGTAGGTTATTAAAAAACAATTTCAACAATAGATAAAACCATTAAATAATTTATGTCGCTATTTTTTAGTTATTTATCATAGATTTTTATAGGTTAAGAAAGTGAACGGAAGTCTAACTTCTTTTAATAAAGCATTCTAAAATATTTCTATAGGTCTTTGATTGCTTCACCGTCCTCGTTACCTTCGTTCTATATGTCTCCTTCTACGGGGCTTTACCCACGTCTAGAGAAAATGCCTACGGCTGTGGATTACTTATATTACTTAGACTATGGCGTTTGAATAAATGTAGGCATAGTAAGTACAAAATCAAATCATATATGTACCGACATCTGGCGGATACTTTTGATATTATATATAATGCAAAACAAACAATCTACACGTACTATACATATAAATATTTACATTTAATTCTCATTTAGCCTTCCAAAGAAAGTATAAAAAAAGAAATACCTATTTGAAATGCCGATTAGAGAACGCTGAATTGCGGCTAAAAACTTTAAATGGATTAGTTTTGCAACAAAGAGTAAGTTGCCTTAGATATTTAGTTGCTCTTCCCTATGCCCTATTTTTATGTTTTAATTAATCTTTTACTGCTTCTTTCTCCCTTTTGAATATTCTTAGCGCGAAATTGAACAACTTAAAAGAATCAAACAACTTACTGGTAAGCTATTATGCGATTAGCGTTTTTTATTGTTTTTTTCTTTTTAATCAATGAACAAATTTATTGAAAAGTTCATTAGCTAAAAGAAATAAACAATAATACTGTACTACTTTTTAACTAGATATTCAAAACCTTCAAGTTCAATATTTGGGAAGCGCGCCAAATATAGGATTAGGAGCTGCAATTTCGACAATAGCTCCTTCAAACCCTAATGAAGCTTTGACGGACGCAGTAACTTCTACTCCAGTAAACAACGAGGAAAGGAGAACGTTAGATAAATCTGTGCTATTAGTCCCAAACCACTTATCGCCTATTAGACGGTCCAGGGGGACAGTTTCTAGTGGATATACTAATCCCAGTTTTGACGATATACCAGACGAAATGAAAGAAATTCAAAGAGTCTCGGAAGTACCAGTTCCCTTTGGTAGTACAGCAACAATAGGAGAGATATCAAAGGTAAATAATCCTCAATAAGCGTTTCCCATTATAATGTTAAATAAACTGGCCATTAATTTTGACAGTTGGACATGCCTACAACGGATTTGTAATCCAAAAATACCAAAACCAAAAATTCAAAATCTGATTTAAAGTGCTCCTACTCCACTGCAAAACTGTTAAATCTTGTTGAACTATATAACAAAACTTAGTCAAAATATTTACGTCATATTGCATAATATATATATACTGTATATCTATATGTCTATACATTTAAATGTTCAGCCTATTATCTAAAGAAAACTTTTATAAGTAATCAAAATATACGAAACTTAACAAATTTGATGATTATCTTGTTGATTTATATTCTAACTATTGACCTACTGAAAGAGAACAATTGCGAAATATCTTTATTAATCTAGTATTAGATGTAATCTAGATATTTTTTGTCCTATACTAGAATATTTCTGTACTACAATATATATATATATATATATATATATATATATATATATATATATATATATATTATATATTATATATTATACAGTTATATAATAGTTATTTCATCATTTCGATCAATACTAGTTTTCTTTGGAAATTCTTATTATAATTTAATAGGTTTTTCTTATTATTATATTTCACTTCAGATGGCAGCACTCATATTTCAATATTAAACTAGGTAATTGATTATTTTTGACAGACTATTAGAATGTTTCATAGTGAATCTATTGCGTAACAATTTATAGTAAAGTTGACGATGGAAGGAAAAAGAGAATATCCAGAAGGAGGATGGGGTTGGTTTTGTGTTTTAGGTTCTGGAATAGTTCACATTATTTTCGGATTAGTTAATAGAGCATTCGGTGTTTTTTATGTTGATTTCCTTGAGAAATTTCAGTCATCAAATAGTGTGATAGGAGCTCTTGGAGCTCTAAATATTGCAATTTTCGGATTATCCTCCCCATTTGTTGGTAGAATAACCGACAAACTGGGCTACCGGCTAACAACGATAATAGGTGCATTTATAGTATCAGGATCTTTCATCATCACGGGTTATGCTACACATCTAGCAGTACTGTTTGTATCAGTTGGAGTTTTATTGTCTTTTGGTATGGCATTATGTTTTTCTCCAAGCTATCTTATCATTAATATGTATTTTAATAAAAGAAGAGGCATTGCTATGGGCTTGTCGACCCTGGGTTCGGGTATAGGTTGTTTAGGGGCACCCCTAATCGAGATTCTTTCTGCTAATTATGGATATTCAAGTTCCTATTTAATGTTAGGCGGTATAAGTTTACATTTAATTGTTTCTGGAGCTCTGTATCAAGTACCACCAAAAACCCTTGAAATTACAGATGTCGACATTGCAAAAATTGAACTTGAAGATAAAATAGAAGATATCAGCAATTTAAAGAAATCCAATAAGAAAATGACTTTACTAAAATCCTGGAGAAATCTTTGTAGTAATTCATTATTTCAGTCCGTCCTGTTCGCCAATTTTACGATTTGCTGTTTATCCGGAGGACTAGCAGCATTTCAAATAGCCTTTGCAATGGATAGAGGACATACAAAAGAAATATCTTCATACCTTTTTACTGGACTGGCAGCGGGTGATATACTAGGACGGCTTATGAGTGGTTTTATAGTGGACTTGAAATTAGTTAAACGATTTAGAACACATCTTTTTCAAATACTTTGTGCAATATCAGGAATTTTCACGCTTTCTCTACCTCTTGGTTCGTCTTTCACTTTTTATCTGGTTTTTTCTATACTGTAAGTTTAAAAATTTTTCCATCTTTTTCCTCATTAAATGAGAATTGATAAGACAGAGAGAGAATGCGCAGGGGAACAATATTTGTTCATCAGCAAGTTTCCTAAATACTTCATTGATATAATAAACTAGAATATGATGAAAGGGAGTATTTTGGGAAAACCATCTCTCTATTTACTTACTAATTAAATAAATTACTAATTAATAGACACGATATCAACTAAAATGTTTTACTCGTTTTAGAAGGGGATTATCTATGGCTACATTGCTTGCCCAAAAATCCATAATGGTATCGGACGTTGTTGGAGATGATTACACAATGGATGGTTTAGGACTTTTGTTATTCGCTAACAGTTCTGGAATAGTCATCACCAGAATAGCTGGAGGTAAGAATATACTGTCGAACATTTACAGCTTTACATTTATTCGTGTAACATTTCAGGTTTACTAAGAGATACAACTGGCTCACACGATGTGTCTTTTTACCTGTTTGGAGCACTTGCTGTACTAAGTATTATTGTTTATGGTTGTAAAATAAAACTTGGAAAGTAATTACAAATCGTATAGTCATCTTTTACATTACAAATATAGGCCAAACGATTAAGTATTGTTTTTCCTCTACCTTCAAACTGAATCGAATTATGAGTCATATCTTATTTTACCATTCAAATAATAACTCCTAATATCACATAATTTTAACCATATGAGTAGTGTAGTATTTCCTTAGTACAAAGTCAGAAAGAGAGTAAAAGATCTTTCATTTTTCTCTCTATTTATGTAAAATATTTTGGATTCGTTTAATTGTTAGAGATTCTATTCATCTAATTAGGATATATAATCTATTTTTAAATATATTTTAAAACACTTAGCATATTCATATAGCATTCTTCGTTTTAGAGCATTTTCTCCTATTCATCTTTATCTATATATATCAATATTATATTACACATAAACAGTAAACAGTCTATATATTAACGGTTTTTTGTTATAAACACACAGAATTTCTCATTTGATAAAATATAAAAACTATAAAAAATTTTTTGTACATATTTTAAAAGGATAAAAAATAAACATAAATACGAAAATATTTGCTTTACTTTTTGGAATCAATCAACTGCTTTCAAGTTTTTCGTTCAAGCATCTGTAGTTGGCTTTTCGAGAGAGTACGGTGGGGGAGGACCATCATCGTCGTATGTTGGTAACCTAAGCACGTTTGGCGATTGATAAGCTTCAACGTTAGGCGAAAGGGGAGTGGTGCTAAATTGCCTGCTGGGTAGAGGAGGTGGGAGGCTAGAGCTTGGTAAAACTGCATAGACATTTGGATCGTCAATTTGAGATTGAAGGCTTCTCAATTTGCATTCTGCGACTTCCGCGTAAGGATTTTCACCCATAGCTTCTAAAGCTTTGGGCGCATCTGAATAAAAATTTGTGCTGCAAGCTCCTCCCCCTCCTATACCATTAGGACCAGCCGAACATGCTCCATCCGCATCAAAAACTGGATTACAAGCGTTAATCACATCTACATCAAAGTGTTCTCGATTTAAATTAGCCTGATTTTGAACTTGTTCTTGTGGTAACTTTCTTCTGATGAGCATAGATCAATAAACTTTGAGTTTTTTAATAAAATTAATTATTCAACTTACGCTTGTCGACGTCTGTAAACTATCAGGCTGATAGCAACACACAAAATAGTTAGAACCATTATTACTATGAGGAGAATATACCAGTGCTTAGAAATAACAGATGATTCATTTTTGTAAAGTTTCTAAATGATAGAACAGTGTCTGCAATTAGTATTGTACATTGAATATTGATAAACGAACGTACTTCTTTTTGATTTGGAGCAAAAGAGTTTGCACTATTTGGTGATGTTGAAATCGGTATGTTACAATAAGTACCACCAAATCCAAAAATACAAATACAGCTCCCTTCTTTACATACTCCATGTACGCAGGGAACGTATGGATGACCCAATTCATTTTTATCCTTACAGGCATCCTTTTCGCATAGTTCACCAAAATATGCCTTACTACAAATACACATACCATTTGTCCGATTACAAACAGCACCATTCAAGCAGGATTTAGCATCACAAACATGAGTTTGACACTTATCACCGGTGTAGACACGCGGACAGGAACATTTCAAGTTTTCAACGCAAGTACCATTGTTTAAGCAAGGATTTTGCAAATCACATACATGACTTTCGCAAGTTTTACCAACAAATTGGTCGGTACAAGCGCATTCAAACATTGCCTTTTGTGGTTCATAACAAGTTCCTCCATTTAAACATGGATTCGAGTCACATTCTTTTATATCTTGTTCACAATTTTCACCTATCCAGCCAGCATGACACAATTTCTTACCCGTTTTCGAATCACAGTCAAAATTGCTGTTTCGTTCTCTTTTACAAAAGACAGAGCAGTCAGTATGATAATAGTTTGTTCGACACTTTACCCAAAATTCTAATTCGATAGTGTTTCTTGTATTATAATAATACTTCCCCCGGAATGATGATTTTCTCTTTTCTCCATTTGCAGCAGTCTTTAAATCGAAGTGAAATCTATCAACCAAATCATCATTATTGTAGCTATCGTGATCGTGAACATCTATGTCTACAACTACTCCACCCTGTATTGTCATTATTAATCCCATTAGAACAGATATAAAGCTGCAGTAAATAGAATATAAAACCTGATATTTATCTCTAACTTGTATCTTATAAGGCTGAAGACCACTGAATCTTGTAACTTTATAGCGATTATTCTGTTCGGACGTTGTTTTGCGCCCTAGAGAGCATGTTTTCTTACTAATAGTAAGGAAAATAGTTAAAATCTCAACAAATAAATGTATATAGATATATATACTTTTCAGATAATTTGGAGAAGCAAACTTGAAAGATGGGATCACACTTTTTCTTACTACCAGTAATAAAAGCTCCACCATCGCACACATCTCCGTCATGTTCCCTAGAATTTCCTTGCCATTGAATTAAATTGACATAAAAATCAGCTACAATTTTCGCCTGAGCTATCCATAACTATATATTTAAACAGAGAGAACTTTAAATACGATATGATGTGTATATAACATGAAACTATATACTGTATATATACTGTATATACTAATATATATATTTGTTTATATTTACAATAAAAATGGAGTAAAAAATGAAGTAGAAATTAAGAATTCGCATCTTTCTTGAATGGATACGCAGTTATGAAAAAAAGGTATAATATCCTGAAAAGAGAAAAGTAAACAAACATAAGTTTAATAATAGTCTATAAGAATGTAATAATAAGAAACTAGGACAAATTTTTCATATTATTTATATTGTATTCGTGTTTTAATTTGTAATAAGGTCTAGGTGAAAAAAAGTTTTATGATCTATTATAATTGAGGTATTGAGAATTCTGTTTAAACTTTCTACATGTAATACAAGTAACAGTGAATTCTACACTATCTATTCAGTAAACTATTGGGACTGTTCCAAAGTCCTTCGTTAAGATCATGTTTCTTATATTGTTGTACTTTACCTTTCCATTACTCACTTACTAAGACATTGTAAAAGGAAGACGAAGAAAATAATACATAAGGACTATAATATCAAAGAGAAATATAGGAGAATGTCAGCCTATTTTATATCTCTCTTTCTAAATATTAAAGCTAACTACATCCATTTATCTGTAGTAAACATTATAAAACAATATAGAAATTCGTCCTTACCCTAGGATCTGCCAATTACTTGAGTTAATTAACACATAAACAAAAACACAATAATCTATGAAATGTTTACGCCTTGATAATCGAATATTCCAAAAGCCAAATCAAACGAAAAAAACAGTTAAAACAGTAGAATAAAATATATGTTTTTATATCCTCTAAATATAATTTCGTACGAAGAAACTTGTTGTAGTATGTGCGTACAGTCGGAATGTGTGTGAACGGGCTTTGATGGTATCCAACAATATAAATAAGTCACGTGATATATATCGTATTGAAATTAGGAGCCGGAAATAAAATTATATATAAAAACTTTTGGTTTACGTATGGTATTACGATGAATGATTGGAATAATCCTAATATTACAATAGTTTAGTAATCATAAAAACTGTATTTGCGGACAATTATTCTGAATCATAGAGGGAAAAGAGAGTTGAATCTATCCAGACATGGAACTACTGCTATTCATAATATTCTTACTGTTGTACCAGGGAATAAAGGAGAATTATAGGCTTATATACAATACATTTCTTTTGTAAATCAAACGAGTGTTTATTAAATATATCGACATAAATATATATATATATATGTTAGTATATATTTATCATTGTTAAAAATGATATAATATTTCTCTCTTATGTTCATGATGAGAACTCGTCTCTCTTCTCCTCATTGAAATACTAATGACAAAACAGTTAATTACTTAGCTTTTCGAAAGCTTCTTAGTAATAAGAAAACTGTTGATTTTTTTGCCTATTGTATTTAAGATACTTCTTTTTTCAAAGTGTGGAATTTCTTTTCATCTTTATTTTACTTTTATAATTTGATTAAATCTTCATTATCGTATCGTTTCTATATCCCTCTTCCCTTATCTCTCTCTCTCTCTCTCTCTCTCTCTCTCTCTCTCTCTCGTACTCTTATTTCAGCCTAAACTGTACAAAAATAAAATATAAGTGCTTTTGTAGGTGGTGATAAAACATAATAATTTATTTTCTTTAAGAAATGTTGTAGGTGGGTGATTTTCTTTTTCATTATATGCTTTCTTCAAAGAAATTACTCACCCTTAACCCTAAGTAGCTAGTAGGCTTAAGTATATTTAAAAAACGGCCTGAGTCGATTAATTACTCTTGGCTTATCATTTAAATTATTACTGTTATTACTAAATTATGTGTAATTTCTTTTATGCAGAGAGAATCTTAGTATTATTCATTCAGAAATGTATCAGATTTGTTTTTTGGGTACATTTCACTTATTACGCAGTTATGTTGATATTTTTTTCAACTCTCTATTCCACCGAGTACGAATAGAATATATAAAAATTCTTATATTTTAAAAGAATAGATATATTGTTGTTGTCTTCATTCTCTCTTTTAATTATTAAATATTAGTTTTATGTCGTTTTCTTTTCTTTTCTATTTTATAAAAGGCAATTTAATATTGATTTAATAAATGAAAAACGGAGAGGAAAAGAAAAATTGTTAAACTAGCAAAACAAGGCTTTGTTTGAAGGATATATTCCTCTTAGAGAAATGATAAAAGTCCCAAAGGGTATGCAGATGGAATATAATAAAAGGTTTAAACAATATGTAATAAGTTATGAACATAACATGATATATAATTAAGATTATTTATACACCAAGATAAAAATAAAATATCAATTAATATATGAAATTTCACTTTGCTACAAAGAACAACTTCTCATATATCGATGATTCATTTATTATTTTCCAGGACTTTTATACAAAATTCTATTAGTGTCTAATGCGTTTCGTTTGTTTTTCTTTTGTTTTTTTTTTATATATATTTTCATATTGAATAAATCCTACTGTTATGTTACTTTTCAATCATTAACTACTGTATATACTACTTTCTCTTTTCTCTCTACTTTTCCTATTTATTTTCGTAATTTATATTAAATAGAATACGCATTAAAAACAATAGCGTCTTTAGAAGGACTAATGCTTCTTCGTTATTATAGTTGTTATTTGTCTTATTTATCTTAAATGAAAACTAACAGGTTTTACTACTATTACTACTATTATTGAAATTTTTGTCCTCTTTTGTATCTTTATTTAACATCCATGATTCAGGATAAAGACTCTTGTCATTAGTGTTTTTCTGTTTTTTGCTTATGTTTCTCTGTACATCCTGGTTCAATGTCCCTCAAGAAAGTATCAATTTTGTTGTATTTTTTTATCATAAATATAACAATGTTTTCACTTCGTTTCGAAAATCTACCAAAACATATTTACTTTTATTACTGTATTTAATTTTGTATTTTCGCGCCAAACTTGGACTATCTAAAGTGACTTAGAACAGTATTTAGAAGGGCATGTTAAGGAAATACTTTTGTCATTGATTTAATGTTTTTATAATAAAATGTCCTCTAATGCCAAAGAAAAACATGTTTTACATATATCTAAAGAAGGTTTCAACTGTCCATCGAATCACTGGGACTCTCTTTCCGTATTTGTACGTAAATATTTTAATTGAGCGATATTTTAGTAATGTAGGCCGGCTCTTCCAGGCGTTCATGTCAATTAGAGGACTTTTAAATGACAACATCTCCATCGATCGAAGTCTTAGGTTCTCTCTATCATCACCCCTCGAATGGCTACGTAAGTAGTTTATCAAGCATTATAAACATTCTCTAATTAGATCGATTTTCAACGACAAATTAAATTACTTAATAGTTGACGAACCTTGGCTAGAATTGCCAGATGGTAGCAAAATTATAGGGGCAATGGATATAATGTATCACTTCGAAAAACAGGTAAGTCACTCTGAAACCTATGATGCTAATTGACGTAATTTCTCTACGAATTTCAGATGACGTCAGCAGTCACATCTAATTGGGCCCAATGCATGGCGTATTATTCTCTACTAAAAGAAAGACTAGTTCCTGCATTGGTAAGAATTATTAAAGTTATTAAATTTGAACTAGTTAGTCCATAAGCCTAGACACTCTGATTAAATTGGCTTTTGATAACAGTATAAAGAATTCTGGTTAAATCCAGAAAATTATCTTAATAGTACTTCTAAAGAATATTCGAGAGCTGTCGGCTTCCCTCTAAATTTAGTTTATTGCGGAATGAAGAGGAAAAGAATTTTAAAGAGCTTAACTTTTGAGTTAAAGAAAGGCGAAGAAGAGATAAAACAATCGGATGAAGTTCTAGTTTGTATTTAAACATCTATAATGATGCTAATACATTCATATATGTTATGCAACTTTCAGATATTGGGTAGAGCGAAAGAGTTTCTTAACATTCTGGAACGTAAGCTCAACGATAAAGAATACTTCTTCGGCGATAAGTAAGCTTTCAACATTAAGCTTTAAACCAAGAGTTATTAATCTTGTTTTTTTTGTCCACTTTTTTTACTATAAAAAGACCAAGTAGCTTGGATGCAATTGTTTACGGACATTTAGCAATGCTACAAAACGCTAAATTGGTTATAATACCTTTGCTAAATCATCTTAAATCTTGCCCAAGCCTTTTAGCTCATTGTCAAAGAATGGAAACTTTAGTTAATGCAAATAGTATGGTTTCTGTTTTTAATTAATAATAATTGTTCAGTAACTACGTATATTTTTTTTAGAATTTACTAAAGTGGATACAAATGAATCAAGGGAGAAGGCTGCAATAGACAAAGAATTCCCTAACCGTATTCGGAATATAATATTAACTGCCGTCTTCGGAATAAGCACCTTACTTTTATATACAATAAGCACAGGGATTATACAGATAAACGTGAATCAAGATGATATATCCGATAATGAGACAGAAGAGGAGCAGCTTGAAGATTAACTGTTAACAGAAAGAAGCTATTTTCTGGCCTACTTTCACCCTTTAAACAATAAGTCAACCATTCATAAATATATTTCTATCACAAATATTTTACGATAGCGTCAATCAATTCAAATAACAACAACAAAACAGGAAAAACAATCATTACACGTAAAAAAAAAGTTAAATTTTCTTCTTTTGAGCATTTTAAGGCTTTTTTCACTTGATTACAATAGCTTTTCAGATTTTACTTAACATATATAATCAAACATAACCCTCTTTATACTCTTCATTGATTTCAATGTATGTTGAAGGTGAGCGGTAAGATTCTAGTTTTGTTAACCTTGTAGAACTACTTCTCAAATCTTCATTAGAGGAAGTGGAATCTCTATAAAGTCTATGGTCTGCAAAGTCATAACGAAATTTCATGGGATTTGGTCTTTTGATAGCGGATTGCTTTCCACCAGGGATCAACCTATTAAATATTTTTAATTAAACATTATTAAACACCTTCAAGTCGACTATCCCATCTGATAGATTGGCCCTGAGAACGAATTCCCATTTGTGGTTTCATTAAATTCTTAGAAAAACATTGAGACCGAGAAGGAGGCCAATCGTCAGACGGCGATGTCGAAATTTAATCATTTCTACAACGGTGCGATCGTGTATTTTCCCTATTTTCTAGAATAAAAAAACCGCAAACATCTCAACAGGTATAGTCCTGTAGAAATCGTAAGATATTTTTTGAAAAATATAGAATTTACGTACGTACTCAGGTCTGTGAACCCTTCCTCTTCTTTTCACAATTCTAAACTTTTGGCTAGCAGCACGCCTATCTTTTCTGCGAATCGAGGGTGAATCTGTTATTCCGGCTTTGCAACCCATTAAATTTTGCATGCAATGCCTAAACGATTTGTTCAAAACCCAATAGAGAATAGGATTAACAGCACAATTAGCGTGAGCTAATAGTAGAACATAATTAAAAATCATTCGAATAGTTGTTGCCGTCTCTTCACCAGTAGTTAAATCCATAACAAATGACATAATGCTGTAAGGCATCCAGCATATAATGAACATGAGAACAACAATGAAAAGCATTTTCGTTATTTTTCTTTTACCAACATCGATTGAAGTTCCGTTGAGGTTTACCGAATTCGATTGCAATGGACCACTCCATATTCTTCTTGCAATTGACAAATAACTAGATAGCATGACAAGCATAGGCACTATATACAAAACTATTAATACACATGTACCATAAGATCTTCTAAATAAGATTCCCGTTGTTCCGTTCATACTGCTGCTCGTACAAAAGTATATTGATTCTGGCCAGTTTGTGACTGGCTTTGTCGTTCTCATAGCCAGAAATTGTGGAAATGCGCAGAGGGCAGATAAAATCCAAATTAAAGACAAGGTGAGCATTGCTTTCGCCTTTGTTGCAATTCTATGTCTCATAAACGACTTGAAAGCAAAGTACCTGTCCACACTTAAGGCAGTTAAGGTGAAAATACTAGCGAAGACTGTTGTACCTAAGGATAATTATTAGTGAATGATTACTATCTTCCTTATATTCTCTTCTCTCTGCTTTCTCTTTTTGGGTTTCTTTATCATTAAAACAAGTATACTTTACAACAGCAACATGGTTCAAGGTAGGAAGGATTTTTAGCCGCTAGTGATTAGGAATATAAGAAAAGGCTAATGAATTTATTTTTCTTCTTAGTGTAGTAAGAAAAACAGGAGACAATCATGTATTTAAAATGTACAATTTGATCCTTCTAGGGACTGTCTCCTCTTTTGTAAGAGGAACTTACGCTGAATTAATTGACAGCGAGAGAGAGAGAGAGAGAGAGAGAGAGAGAGAGAAGACGAAATGCTCGGTAAATTTGATATAAGGAATTGAAGGAGAAAGCAACCGAATACCTTGTAAAAGGTTGGAAGACTTGCACAGAAATTCTCCGTAATACCATCTATTGTCAACAGCGTTTGCAACTGAGAGAGGCATACATAACAGTGTCATACATAAGTCAGCCACAGCAAGATTGACCAAAAAGAGGTTTTTGACCCTTCTCATTTTCTTAAATCTGACTATTACTGATATAACAAGTGAATTTCCGGTAAGAGCCAATAAAAACACTGGAATGTAGAGTATTAACAGGACAATAGTTCGAGGTTCCTTTATAATTAGTTGCGAGGCAAAGAAACTCTCAATTATTCTCCTGTATTCTTCTGTTTTATTTCGGACAGAATCATTTGTACGCATCATATTTATATTCTAAGTGAAAAAAAGAAAAGAAAAAAACATTGAGTTATTCGTACAAACCAATCAGAATAGATAAACGTACAAAGGAAAGAAAAACTTGTCTAACAAAGGATGAACGACTTTGTGTGTGTTTTTTTAATAAATATAAAAAACAACTTACACATAAAATGCTGGAGGATTTGAAAGGATTTAATTTCCTATTCAATACTTATGCGAAATGTTTAATACCTCGTTCCTTTTATTCAGATAGCGTCTAACTTGATCGTAAAATATCTGCTTTTTATATTCAGATAAAATGAATTTTGCCGCTTTCTATCAATTCATCAGTCGTCAGTTTACGTCCAAGAAACGAAAGAAAATATTTTTTAGCACCAGAATATGGCATTACAAACAACTCTAATGAACGAAGCTTCGACCTTAGCAATTTTCTAGGCGTTTATGATTGCCCATCTATAATAGCGCCACCTACCCCTTCAAATTAGACAGATTCTCAAAAAACAGGAAAAAAAAACTTATCAAATGTATCCTCGGTTAATTGCGATCATAAAAGTAAACAAACAACTGCAATGAGCAAGAATTCTGAAACGTGTTTAATGCATTATGAGTAATCTAGGACAATAATTTTCCAAACAGGTAGACCGTGAGGCATAAATGTATACTGAAAATGCACTCATCATTATAAATATATATAATATCTATAATATTATCACTGAATAATCGCATCTGAGTGTTCAAATCGAACATCTTAAATATTTATTTATTACGGAATATCAAACAGAAAGAAAGGACATTGACATACCCTTCCTTCGTTACCTAATGGCAATTTTTTCCCCTTAAAATAACATTAGTTTTTGAATATTCTATTTAATAAAACCAAATGAACTTACTGTATATACTCTTTTTACCAAAACTGGATATAGGATAATCCTTCTTTCCTTAATAGACACGGAAAATGGATATTTCTTTTTGCAGCAATATCCGTATAAAACTACATTTCATTTCATACATGTAATTCGTATTTCTTTTCTATTATATTAATATAATGCACTTAACAGTTCAGTTGCATGTGATACCCAATGCTAAAAAGCAAGAGTCGTGCACTAAGTACTCCCAACGTTCTATATTTCTTGGCCAGCTGGCATAATTAATTAATTAATTAAGCATTCTAATAACCAAAAACCGATTATTTTACGTCAGTGTGAAGATTCTATAAAAAATGGCATTTATTCAGATATTATCACCTGCTGTAAATGAAAATAACATCTTTTGAAAATAAACAATTGGCTAGGTAACAAGGTATTCCATTTCTTTTGGTGTTAACCTATAAATAATACCATGTGCTAGACTTATCATCAGTGTAAGATATCATCAATAAATTTAAAAGTAAAAATACAGTATTATTAAAGATATAAGTATTATGCTTTTCAACATATTAAACCTTAAAGGATGTTATATTAAATGTCTATATTAGCTTTAATGACGTCAAGAATTTTTAGGTAATAGACAAATTTGTAATGAGATCTAATAAGGCAATAAAAGAATGATTCAGTAAGAGAAAAATTGTATTAAATGTACGCTTTTCATAAATAAAGCATTGAGAAAATAGATTAATGAAGTAGGCGCATAAAATTCTCTTTTATTATGATTTTGTTTTCTCATAAACTGTTACAGCAGCAAACTTCTACTGCAGAGAAATATATTTGGTGCATAAATCAAACAATTAAAAGAAAATTGACAAACAAAATCTATTAACTTTCTAATTGTGATAATATCTCCTGATTGTTGAATAATTTATAGACAATATATTATATAGTTAGAAAATTATTGGAGAAATAACAATAATGTTACCCTTATTTAAACTAAGAGTAATACAAATCAACTTTTCTCTATTGACATTGTAAAATGTAAAGATAGAAAAGTCAACATTCTTTTAGGAGTTGTTTAGTTCTTCATTTTCAACTTTTATTCTCTGTTGTAGTTCGGAAATTAATTTTTTTTCTTTGCAAATCTGAATAAAAACAATCAAAACCATTCTTTTCAAGGAACACTGTACATAAACTGTATATCATTACCGTTTGACGTCCGTCTGCTATCTTCTCTTGTATAGATTTTAATTCGGACTCTTCATAGGCCACTTCTTTTTGAAGTTCAGTTTTCAGTTGTTTCAGTTTACCTAAATTCTGCTTTCTATTTTTTACTATTGTATTCATTATAATTAGCATTATTTCTTTACTAAGTATCATTATTTGAAAGATTAACCTATCCGTTTTAATTTCTTTAATTCTTCTTGAGGTTCCCTAAAAACTGAGCCCATTCTTAAGTCATCAATAACAGTCGTTCTCTCTTTCACAGCTTCGTTCATAGTTTGCCTTTCTTTTTCCTTTTTATGCTGAAGATTATTCAAAATTGATTGACTCTCTCTAAACTTTTGTTCCAGTAATGCTATATCTGTACTTTCAAATGTTTTGATATCATTGACCAAAAAGAATACTCTTTAGCATACCTTTATTGCATTTTTCTGATCTTTCTTCTAATTCTCTCTCTCTATGGAGACTAAATGAGAGACTAAACTCTGTATTTTCTAAAGTTTTACGAGTACTTTCACAGATACTTCGCACTTTGATAGAAATGATATCCTATTAATCGTTTGACTTGCTAAAATCTTGAATTTATTAAACCTGTATCCTCAGTTTTTGTCAGACTTTCCAATTCAGCTTTAAGAACATTCTTTCTGGCTTCTTTTTTCTCTATTGAAGCCCTCATTGAAGTCAAAAAATCAGTGATTTTATTCTCATCCATTATAACGATGTCTATTAAGCGAATATAAGTTTATTTACTTCTATTTCTTGCAAAATTATGGGAATAAGTTTTCAAACAACCGGAAGTTTATCACCCAGTGACATCTGCTTTTCTAATTAGGAATAGGGGGCGCTCATCTTTAAATACTCAGGATTAAAGTATAGAACAAAATGAGAAAGAGAAAATCTCGTAAAAAAATTATCATTCTAAAGAAAAAATACATTCTAGAAGAAATTAATTTTATCCCACAGTAGAATTATCCAGGAAATTACTACTAATTTCCTATTTCAAAGCTTGTAATATAGAATAAAGTAAAAATATAAATTTCTCTTCTGTAATTTATATTAGACAAAGAAAAGATAACAAAGAATATCACTAATAGAATTTTAGGTTGATTTATAATTAAATTGAAAGCATTCTTGTATCTTTTACTTAGTCACGAATTTATCTTGCGGTCTAAGCACGACATATATGGAACAACGTTTATTAATTCTAAAAAATAACTGTCCATCTTAAAGGGAAAATGATTAAGGAATAACTAAAGACACCACACATAGTATCAAACGAGACTTATAATAACTTTATTGTGTTAATTTTTAGGATAAATTTGAGAAGATCAAAAGAATGTGTTACATTTTAGTTAGAAGTATTGAATTTGTCTCGTTGGGATCTTCCGTAGCTTTATTTTGTGGTTCTTCAATTAAAATTTTTTCCACATTTGGTGTTGCAAGTGTCTTAGATTTTTCAAAATATCTTACCATTACTTCAAAGACTATATACATTAATATACACATTAAAGCCCCAAGAAGAGATGCGTATAGGACTGAAAAAGGAGAGACTGAGTCAAAAAGAACTCCTACCACGGATGGACCTATTATATTTCCAAGTGAACTACCGATTGATAATATCCCAGCAGCAATGCCATTCATTTCTATTACTTCCGAAGCTCTGAGAACAACTGAAGCGTATGTACTACTCATTCCTAGCCCGAAAACAGCCGTGCTTATCCACATAACCATTGGGTGGTATTTGCATAATATGGCAGAGGTTAACATTGATAAAAATGTCAAAACAGTAGTAATAATAATCATTGTTTTAGGGCGTAGGAAAATGGATATTGGAACAGCCAAAAACCTCCCGACTGAATGAGCGCCCCAAAGTACAGATGTTATTAAAGGACCGTCACTCTTATCCCAATGTAGACCCTTGATTACAAAAGTTGCTAAAAAGTGGCCAGGTGTATCTTCAGTAACAAGTAACCAAAAGTAAAACATAACGAGAATAACTAAAAAGGCTATTCGCTTCTTCTTGTTTAACATTTTAATGTTTTTATTACATTCTCTGTTAGAAGGGTCGTCAACAGTACTTGTTGCTTTCGTGAAAATGGTAGATTTTAATAGAAAAAACAGTATGGTAAACATTAAAATTGATGGAACGGCTATGATGCCTGCAATAATTCCTGCGTAATGTACTCGGATATCTTCATTTGATGCATTAAACCCTTTGGTTACAGTTTCTGATGTTGTATTATCGCCAATTTCATAAGCATTTATGTCTTTAGGCAATTCTTTAAGTAGAAAAGGCTTAGCGATAAAGGGACCTATTGCAGCTCCTAATGACCAAACAGCATGGGCTGTCTGAAGAAGTGGTTTTACCAGCTTCGAACCTTTCCATACATAGACAATATATGACTGTCCTCCACTATCAACTGCACCCATAAATATACCTGATAGAGTATTAAAGAATATAAATAAACCTAAATTCGGAGAGGCGGGTACTGCAGCTATAGTTGCTCCAATTCCTAAATTTGCCACGGCAAACCAAAATTCGTTACTTACTCTGTCATAAAGTACAGAACAAAGGAAACTGCCAACTAAATAGCCGAAAGCATGAAAAGAAATTCCGATTGAAATTCTTTGGGTATCTGTATTTAACATTATTTGAAAATCAAGTAAGGCTGGACCGAACAAACCGGCACACACTCCCAGCACAAAAAACGATAAATAAATAGCAAGGGTTCGGAATTTCTTCCTCTCTACTGTATTGACGCTGGAATCCATCTAAAGCAGGTTATCATCTGATGAACAGCTTCTTAGAATGAATTCATATTTATAGTTTGGTAGATAAGATAGTACGCCGTTTAAAGAACAAACGCAAATATCTCTCCTAGCAGACACGTGTAATTAGAAATTCGCAGACGAAATATTCGCTCGTCCAAACTTCATTACCAGTTTTCTGAAGAAATCACGAATCTTTATAAATTATTTCATTTGTTTTCTATTAGGCCTATTACAATTTTTGGAAAACGAAATATGTATTTTTAAAAAATTAAAGGATGTTCGATTAAAAATGAAATGATCAATAGTGTTTAATAAATAAGAAAAATAGAAAAAGATGCCTAAAAATTCCTTAAGTACTAAGAAAAAAGTCTTTAAAAAGAAGCTTACTTCTCCTACAACTAATAGAATACGTAGCGGTTCAGTTTATTCATATATTTCAAAAAATTTAACACCTAAAGTCAGTATAAATCGTGACACTGATATTAAACCTAATCTTGTTGATGTGTCAACTGGTATTTCTCATCAAAATCTATTTGATATTCAAAGAGAAAAAGTTGAATTATTAAAGACATCAGCTGTAAATAATAATACAATTAATAGCATTAGCTTTGAAGTTTTTATTGAGGCGTATGAAGATGTTAATCAGTCATTTCATAAAAGTGTAAGGCCTGAAGAGACTCTTAAGCATTTAAATAACATATCTAATAATCTACAACGATGTATGGATCTTTTATGGACCCATTTATGCGCAATACAAAATTCTACTATAAATGCTCGAGAAGAACTATATGGAAGATTGGATAAGGCAATTTTCAACAATGATAAAATAACTTTAAATGGTTCAGAAGATGAGTTAAATTCGTGGAAAATTAACTTAGAACTTGCTGAATTAGCCGAAGAAATGGTTAAAGCTGCAAAAATTACAACAATTTGCAAACAAGTTAGAACAATACGAATTTGTATGCAACTATTTATTACTTTTTAATTTAATCCAGGCAATAACGAGGACAACGGAAATTGCCGAAAGACTCAAACTAGAAGCTAATTTATTAGAACAGAGAATTAGAAAAGAGCGTAGCTTTCAACTAGAAAGAGAAAAGCGAGCTTTAGATGAGAGAAAGAAAAATGAGTTCAAACAAATCAAAGAAAGACAATTACAAACAGAAAGAAAAAATCGTCTAGAGAATGAAAGAGTGGCGATACTGAGGAGAAGCGATTACAAAATCAACGAATCTTTTAATTTTGAATATCCCTATCAGATTTCAAATGAAGACGGCTCAACAGAGCTGTGCTGCATTATCCGAACTAATTCGAAATCCTTCACCGAAGATTCAATAAATGTTAATCCACTCAACGGTACCTCTTTTCACTACGAACCTAATGATGAATTAATTAGTAAATTAGTTCAATTAGAAAGTAACGAATCCAACTTATTGAATAAAAATAGTCTTTTCTTAACAATACCTCATTATATGAATAGACTTAGCTCTCAAACAAGAGAACCGATTGTAAAATTTTTATCTAAAGAGAATAATTGGAGAGAATTAAAAACGACTGAAGTTTTGATAGAATCGAAAAAAGAGCTCAAATTTGCGCAAATAGAATTAAAAGAATTTGGAACTTATGCCGTCGTAGCCTGCCTTAAAAGAGATCATTTAGTAATTACAAAAAAAGGAGGCAAAATTAAAAGTGCTCTTGACCCCCGATTAACAATCTTTTCTAAACCGAATACCTTTCCTGATAAGGAACATTTTACAGTTGCTAGTCAAATTGTTGACAGGTGATTTATAGATGTTATAAATTCAAGTTTTTCCTCTTATATTTTGTTTATTTAACAGCAACAGAATTAACGAAATGCGGTCAATAACTTCTTGTGGTCAAGCTGTTTACAATGTTTCGGCGTTTTACCACTTGCAATGGGAAAGCCATAAACTGTTAGAGAAAATTACAGTTAATGTTCCAATCAATCCAAATCCAACGAAAGCCAAGAAAATCGCAAAAGGATTAAAGCCACACGAGAAGAAATCTGGCAAGAAGTCAAGACTTAATGAAGGGGAAGGTGAAATTTTGTACTTGGTGAAATCCTTTGGAAGTGGTGACAGATGGAAAACTGACAGTATAAATGTAACAGTGAAAAAATTGGATATTGTTCAATTCACAACTCAGGAACCCTTACAGAAATTCATCATTATTCGTATGAAGGCTAGATCAAGTGGGGAAGAAGCCTCTATTGTTGCTGAGACCTTGTATAATCTATTGCAAAAACGCTATGCTGAAGTCTTTGTTCGACAGCATAAAGATAATCTCAAACATTTAATAGTTACAATAGTGCCCTCTATGAAATCGGATAAAATGGGCCTTACTTTGAACAACCATGGTTTTACAGCAGGTGAAGAAGAATCAATTGGGGTTGAACTTTTTGAAGGTGATCTTATAAAAATTCAATTTTGTGGCAACATGCAATTTCAAAATGTGAATCAACAAGTTGAAATGATATACAATTCTCAATTAGATACCAAAATCAGCGCCATTATTCAAGTTAAAGATCAATATCTACAAAAAAATTTCGATAATTTTAGAGCAATTCTACAACTAATACTAAAAACAAGATTAAGAAAGATAAAATCATCACAAAAGTCAATAACAATTGTTCAACCAATAGAAAACAATGAAAT